ACGCGCATCTACAGAGTAGCCCCATTCCAAGTTCGACTGTCGCGTGATGTTCTGTAACAGCGAACACGGAAATCAACGACATTGGTTACATAGCGCGCACTATCGCCAACGTACCCAATCTATCGATCGCAGTCGAATGCAATCGATTGCATCAGATCGAAGCAATCGATCGCGATCTCGATTGCGATCGATAGATTGCCCCCGATTGCCCAAAAGTACCCCTTAGACCTTCTGGGAAATTGTGGATTGCGAGATCGAGGCAATCAGCCTCAGATCGTTCCGATCTGTACCACGTCTTTATACTGTAGCTTGAAACTTGATAGTCCCAGGCAGTTTGTCTTGTGCGAGATTCCAGTTTTTTCGTCCAATAAGGGTCCCGTTACACACACTCTTGTTCCTAAGAAGTTGCACCCCGCCTTTAATCTGACAGACAATGCCATTGTCCGTTCTCCTCAACGCCCCACGTTCAACGGTCGAATTGATGGTTCAATAATAACTTCAACCACGTCAGAACCACCATAGTTTCCGCTCGGAGCGGCGCTCGCAGCAGCGCCGGCTCTCTGGCCTGAACAGAATACTGTACTTCCTGTCAAGTCCGAGGAATTGGGACAAGGTTTTTGTTTTTTTTTGTTTTTTTTTGTTTTTGTTTTTTTTAATGTTGTTCGATCCGCCATACTAGATCTCAAACAAGCCTGCCGCGCTTTGGCCGCCTTGCCTAACCTGAGCTCTGATTGTCAACGAGCTACACTACTAAGAACATCGGATCGAAGGGTCATGCATATGGGCCGTGAATCCGTTTCTCCTCCTCTCCCCACCCCACGCCTGTGTGGAAAAGAAATGTCCACTCTTATTTTTCAGGTTATTTCTGACATCTGACTTCACTCGTACGATCTGACGCTGAAGAAAACCCTTTCCTTCTTAGGCTATTTCCTTGAGTTGCTGGTGAGAGCAGCATTCCCCATAGTACGTCTACTACAGAGGAACGGCAGTCCGCAAATGTTGCTGCCTTTAATATGTTAATGCTGGTTTGGAGAACCTTGGTTATCAGGCCAGCAGCAGTTGTTTGACGAGATCCATTGCTCCACTGACAGAGAGTAGAGTCCGCAGTGAGTATTTTCTGCAGAGTATTTTCTGCAAAAACAGAACGCAGCGAGAGGAGTCTGGGCACGCGGACTTCGTGATCTGCTGAAAACAAAAATCTCAGCCAACGTTTTTCATCACTCCAGTTCAGTTGGCGACGGTTTCGAGTTGATGTAGGAGTTTAAGCTTAAAAAATGCTGGCGACAGCTCGTTTTCCAGGTTCAGCAAGGCACGAGGCACTGTCTCATAAATCATCAACGAGACTTAGTAACTTGTTCCCGGCGGTCTCTATTGGAAGAATGGCGTCGGAAGCAGCTGGCTTTCAAAATTCAACAACTCCTTCTCCCATGTCGAGCCTTCCGATCTCCGACCTTCCAGAAACGGACCTTTCAGGGTCGGAACTCGGGACTTCAGAAGCAGAGAATGGTTGTCCTGCATGGAACGGAAGAACGAGTCAACCCTTCAGCCCGTGGTGGTGGTATCGTCTTTCTGGTGGTAGCAACCAAGCCTCGTCTGACTGGGTTGGTGATCCGGCTTCAAACTTCCTGGAAACAGCAGCTGCTGCTACTCAGAAATCAAGCTCTGGTTCAGGATCTGATTCTGATTCTGATTCTGATTCCGATTTGGCATCTGACGCTAATCCCGATGGTGCACATTGCCGCAGAAGCGATCTCACCACCGCTGCTGCTGCCAATCCTCCCTCTCCTAAGGTGCCTTCCCAGCTGTTGGGAGGGGTCAACAGGAGGTGGTCCCTTGGAGGGGTTACCAGCAGCGGCGGAGGAGGGGGGGGAGGCGGTGGTATGGTAACAAATAATCTGGATATGCTGTGCCTTCAGAGTAAGCTGAGCCTGCTGGAGTCCCAGCGCGAGCAGAACGCAGTGAGATGCCAGCAGTTTGTTGACATGCTGCGGTTCGCAGCAGAACAGGCCGGTGAGGAGACGACTGCGGAGGATGCTAGGAGAGGAGAGGTTGTGGGGAAGAAGGAGAGGGTTCCATTGCCTGTTGAGGGTCTGGCTTGGGGTGGTCGGCGGCGGTTAAATCGTCGCCGGTCGACTTCGGATTTGTTGGAGGCGAGAAGGCGCGCTTGCGCTGCTGGCTTGGCTGCTGGCCGAGTTGACCGAGTTGACCTAACTGGCCTGCCTGGTTGCTGTGCTGCTCGAAATCGCATCGACTGCGCGTCACATGGGCCGAAAGGGTCCGACAACTCCTCAGTCTCCTCCGAAGCACCTGAGAGATCACCTGAAGAATCACTTGATGGGAGTGAAGACTTTACGACACGTGGCGCTTCAGGTGGAGTCTGCTCTCGTTCCTGGACGACGGGCAGGTTAAGTCAAGCTTCACTCTCTGCCACTCTTCACCAGCACTTGGTTAGCAAACCCATGGAGCGGAAGCTTCGTCGCGGGAGAACCCATGATGGGAGGACCCATGTGGAGAGGAACCATGGTGCAAGGGTTCATGACGGGATATCCCGGCGCAGCTCCAGCCTGTGTGCTTCGTCATCGCAATCGTGTTTCTTGCAGCGCAGACAAAGCTCAAGCCCTTCTCTGGCGAATTTTCCCGGATCACCTCTGGCCGGTTTGGGTTCAAGCCCGTCTTTTGAGGCGCCTCAAGAGTCGCAGCCCCGCTTCTTGCAGCGCAGGCAGAACTCAAGCCCGTCTCTGGCGAATCTCAACTCGTCACCTCTGGCCAGTTTGGGCTCAAGCCCATCGCTGGCGAATTCCACCGGATCACCTCTGGCCGGGCCAAGTTCAAGGCTGTCGTTGGCGAATCTGAACGCACCCTCGGCCAGTTTGGGCTCAAGCCCTTCTCATGCCAATCTGAGCCTGAGCCTGTCCCTGTCAAATTTGAATTCCTCTTTGTCCGGTTTCAGTCTAAGCCCCTCTCTGACGAACATGGAGGCTGTGGAGAGCAGTGATGAGGGGGAGACTGACGATGCGAGGTCGTTTGGGCGGAGCCGAAGCAGCAGTGTCAGGTGCAGCAGAAGCAACACCAGGAGCAGCAGCAGCAGCATCCGAGCTCATTCTTCTTTGAGACTGGGATCGAACGCTGAGCTGCAGCATTCTGTATCCAGCCAAGCTGAGCTGGCAGACCGTCAGCGGTCAATTAGAAGGTTGCCATTGGACACGGACAGTTGCTTGGCTGCTGATAGAAGCATTCGACGAATTCCCTCGTATGGCCTCTGTCTCCCACCCTTGGACTCCCGGCGGCAGATATTGGAATCACGATCCCCTTCGAGCCCTATACGGTCGCACACGTATCCGAAAGAGCATCGGGATGCGGTACGTCGAGGCATGAGAAGCTACCAAGGAAGAACCGCCCAGACTTATCCGGTACATAAGAGCATGGGTGTGGGTGGCCAAGGGGATGTGTTTGCTCGGCTGCATGATGACCCATGATGTGTCACGACTCACGAGATTCATCCTGGTTCGCGTGGTTCATACGGTACAATGGCATGTGACCAGGCTATTCTTAGGCGCCTTTTTATCCAAATGCAGGGCAATGGTGCGAATGATAGCAGTTATGTCTGTAACAGGCCACTTGATGTATTAAATTAGTTGGCATGCAATTTATCTGTAGAACAGATTATTAAGTTAGATATACTGAGCAGCTCGAATGGTTGGGAGCTAAAGCTTCGCATCTGTACCAAACTGGGTCACGCATATACTAGTGCCAATTGCCCAAACTTTGGTATGCCTGCTTGATTCTCGAGTGGCGAGCACTGCTCTGCGAGTTCGAAATAATGACCCAGCCAATCGCAGGAGGTCTTCCAGGCTTGTCGGGGGCTTATTGATTGGCTGAACTCGCCGGCCCCTCGAGGCACTCGTTGAAACTCTCTCAGGTTCTGAAGGGCGTGTTTTTCAGAAACTGGTCGCTGCGATTCATTTGTCTGCTTGTAACTCCGAACCAGTCTCACGTCGAGTCTCATAAGTTGTGTCACGTCAGTGCTCTCGCCACTAAAGATGACCCTTTGTACGTGTATGTGTACGTGTACTTGCACTTGTACGTGTACCATCTATGGTTGTTCTTTCCTGTCGAAAACGGAGTAAATTGCACAATCAGCAACTACAACTCCAGCTTTCCCGCCAACTCACGGACCTGGCTTCCCATTCCCATTTTAGAGCTGAGAGTTGTGTCACAGCAACTCAACTCTAGTTTCCTCCAGCAGTAGGCGAGCATTGTACCAATCGACCATTCTAAGTAGTGAAGTTGTTAGCGTATGGGACGCCAAGCTGGTATCTCCAGCTGGTTGATCCTCTTGCGCGGTATCTCAAGTTCCTTCGTCGCGTTTTGCCTGTAACGTTCTTACAGTATTCGTGTTTCGCCTGCTGCTACAAGCGGTTCGCTATTGTCGTTTCGGCTACTGTCGTTTCGGCTGGCATTTTCTTCTCCTGAACCTCAACTTCGACGCCGTGCTTTCATTTCTCCCACTTGATGCCGTAAATCGTCCCGAAAACTTAAAATGGTACGAGCAAGCTGAAGGGTGTGATCGGTGAAAATGTCAGGACGCCTCGGAGGCGTTACCAATGCTACTCCAGAGATGCTCTTCCGTTTTTCCGTGTTTTTTTAAAGAATTGCAAAATCATGTTTCAAAAATGGACCTAGATGGAGTTCACGAGGTCTTGATTAAGGATTCGTCGCGATCTCTCAGTTGTCTCGGGAAATCAGTCGATTGAACGATCCAAAATGTCTCCGTTATTAGTGTATCCGCATCTAGGACAGGAATGTCTCTCGGAAGGCCCTTTGAATTTCTGAATTCGGATTTGATGCGCTCCTAGAATGGGAATGTTTCTCAGAAGTCAACAGCCGAAATTCGAATCCGGCATTTTTCGCACCAATCCAACATTTTCCAGTATTTCCATCGAAGACATGAGTAGAAACGGCTCGGAAACTGAGCACATTCGTGTCGACTCGCCACTCTAATGGCTTATGCACAAGACGGACATTGCGTATCTGATCTAATTTGAACTCTAAGGGATCGAAAATGTAGACTTGAGGTGACTGGGAGGATTGGTACGTGCCTTAAAGAAACCCAGCGCCGGAGAAGATTTAGCCTTCAATTTCCCTCCCTTCCGTTTCCCACTCTCGCTGACGCCCCAATCAATCCTCTTCTCCTCCCCGTCACACTCTACTCTCTCAACCCTCCCCCTCCCATCTCCCGTCTCTCTCAACCTTACCTCCTCCTATCTCTCTCATCCTCTCCCCGCACCCCCTTTCCCTCCCCCCTCCCCCCTCCTCCCACCTTTCTCCCGCTCTCCCTACTTCCGTATCGCATTTCTTGCCCGGCCAGGGGGAAGTGACAGCACCAGAGGACGCGTGACTAGGATACTGTGAGACGACTCATAAGAATCCCCTCCCTCCGTTCCCCCACATTGATCAATTCCCTCTTTCATTCCTTGCCCGGCCAGGGGGAAGAGACAGCACCAGAGGACACGTCAGCAGGAGCGGAGGCCGCGCGCTTCGTGGTGGGGTCCAGGATATGGGTGGCGCATGAGAAGGCGGCGTTTGCTGCAGCTGAAGTCACGGCGGTGCAGGACAATGGGGAGACCGTTGAGGCCATTCTCGTGGATCCCAAGGGGGACGACAAGGTGGGTAAATCACCCTGGAAAAGACTGTGGGGGGAGGGTGCAAGATATCGTGGCGCATGAGAAGGCGGCGTTCGCTGCAGCTGAGGTCACGGCGGTGCAGGACAATGGGGAGACCGTTGAGGCCATTCTCGTGGATCCCAAGGGGGACAACAAGGTGGGTAAATTACCCTGCGAAAAGTTGTGGGAGGGTCCAAGATATGGGTGGCTCGTGAGAGAGCAGCGGTTTCTCACTGTAAACGCATATTTCTTTCGCCGCGATTGCCCATCCTCTCACCCCCACGCCTCTCTGCAGGTGCTCATCCATGCTGGGAGTGCTTCCCCAGGGAGGAGGACGAGGAGAAGATGAAAGGGGAGGCTGGTGATATCATCTGCACCAGTGGGCTCACATCCCGTACCCTCAACCCCACGCCTCTCTGCAGGTGCTTATCCCCGCTAGGGAGTGCCTCCCGAGGGAGGAGGACGGGGAGAAGGACCCCACGGACGGACGATATGGGAGGCTGGACCACCTGCACGAGCCTGGTGTGCTCTGATGTGATGTGATGTGAGGTGCCTCAATACCCCACGCAAGTCACACTTATCCCCCACCTTCGCCCTGGCCCTTTCTACAGGTGATCATCCCCGCGCGGGAGTGCTTTCCCAGGAAGGAGGACGGGGAGAAGGACCCCACAGACGGACGATATGGGAGGCTGGACCACCTGCACGAGCCTGGCGTTGTGATGAGACGTAATGGGATGTGATCTGATGTGTTGTTCCTCAAGACCCCAAACGACTCACGAATGGTTTCTACCTCCACCCACACCCGTTTGGCAGGAGGACGAGGAGAAGGACCCAAAGGATGACATGGTGAAGCTGGACCACCTGCACGAGTGTATTCGCATCCCAGTACCCTCCCACCCACTCCCACGCCTCTTTGCATGTAGGTGCTCATCCCCGCGCGGGAGTGCTTCCCCAGGGAGGAGGACGAGGAGAAGGACCCCAAGGATGACATGGTGAAGCTGGACCACCTGCACGAGCCGGGCGTGCTGCACAATCTCAAGCGGCGCTACGTGCGCAACGCCATCTACGTGAGTGGTAGTGCTTGATCCCAAGGTGGCGGTGCTTGCAAAGGCTGGTGCCTCAATAGCTGGACCACCTGCACGAGCCGGGTGTGCTGCACAATCTCAAGCGGCGCTACGTGCGCAACGCCATCCACGTGAGTGGTAGTGCTTGATCCCAAGGTGGCGGTGCTTGCAAAGGCTGGTGCCTCAATAGCTGGACCACCTGCACGAGCCGGGCGTGCTGCACAATCTTAAAAGACGTTACGTGCGCAACGCCATCTATGTGAGTGGTGCTTGGTGTTTCCATGCAAAAGCTGGTGTGAGATGCCTTACAAGCTGGACCACCTGCACGAGCTTGGCATGCTGCACAACCTTAAGCGCCGCTACGTGCGCAACTCCATCTACGTGAGTGCTTGCGCTTCCTGTTAACGCCATCCACGTGAGAGTGGTGGTGCTTGTTCTCAAGTTGGTTGTGCTCCCAAAGCCACACTCGTCACTCACGTGCCTGAGCCTGCACGGGCCTGGCATGAGATGCCTCAAAGCTGGACCACCTGCATGAGCCCGGTGTGCTGCACAACCTCAAGCGCCGCTACGTGAGTGGTGCTTGCTCTCAAGGTGGCGGTGCTTGCAAAGGCTGGTACCTGCCTCAATAGCTGGACCACCTGCACGAGCCCGGTGTGCTGCACAACCTCAAGCGCCGCTACGTGAGTGGTGCTTGCTCTCAAGTTGGCGGTGCTTGCAAAGGCTGGTGCCTCAATAGCTGGACCACCTGCATGAGCCCGGTGTGCTGCACAACCTCAAAGGCACATCTCATAACCCCCTTGCTTTATCCTCTGTCTACGCTTTCCTACTCCCAACCCACCCCCTGCAGACATACACAGGCACCATTCTCATCGCAGTCAACCCCTTCATATACCTGCCAGGCCTCTACCACCCGCAGCTCAAGAGCCAGTACCGCAACGTGCCGCTGGGGCAGCTCAGCCCACACGTATTCGCCATTGCGGATCATGCTTACAGGTATGTGTGTGTACGTGTGTATGCATATAGTCTCACTTACACACAGACCTCGGGTATACAGGTTCAGGCCTGTACCACCCACAGCTCAAGAGCCAGTACCGCAATGTGCCTCTGGGCCAGCTCAGCCCACACGTGTTTGCCATCGCTGACCATGCTTACAGGTAGGTGTGTCTGTGATGAGTGGGGTGCGTGCACCTGTACGTACCCTTATACCTCAACCTCCTTAACTCAGCCCTGCTGTTTTCTTCCCCTCCATCCATCCCCCCACTCACTCCATCCCTTCCATCCAATCCAACCACATTCCCACGCACTCACTCCCATGCTCACACGCACTCCCACTCTCACACATGCACTCTCTCACACACGCCCCCACGCAATTTTAGCACACAGGTCCATGAGGGAGGCAGGGCGCAGCCAGTCTGTTTCAATCAGTGGGGAGAGCGGTGCTGGCAAGACAGAGACCACCAAGCTGGCCATGGAGTACCTGGCGGGGGCAAGGGTGGCGGATAGGGCCCCACGTACCCTGCTGCCCTTAACCCCCCAGCCCCTCACTCCGTCCTTCTCCCCCACCGACACTCACACTCCCGCAGGTCCATGCGGGAGGCGGGGCGCAGCCAGTCGGTGCTGATCAGTGGGGAGAGTGGCGCCGGAAAGACAGAGACCACCAAGCTTGTTATGGAGTACCTGGCGGGGGCAGGGGTGGCGGGTCGCTGCCTCCTCCCCATCCACCCTGCTGACCTTGCCCTCCCACACACTCACTCCCACTCAACCATACTCTCATGCACTCAATCCCTCACACAGGTCCATGCGGGAGGCGGGGCGCAGCCAGTCGGTGCTGATCAGTGGGGAGAGCGGTGCTGGCAAGACAGAGACCACCAAGCTTGTTATGGAGTACCTGGCGGGGGCAGGGGTGGCGGATAAGGCTGCTGCTGCTGCTGCTGGGGCTGCAGGGGCTGTGGGCATGGGGGGCGGGAGGAGAGGGAGGCGGGGAGGGGTGGAAGCGGTTGTGTCTGCTGAATCGACCCAGTGTGTTGAGAGAGTGCTGCAGGTGAGTGGGGTGTGTCTGGAGCGGGTGTGGGGTTGAGTGTATGGCTGAGAAGGAATGGACACTCCTCCCCTCCCATTCTTTCCAGTGCAGCTCAATCTCTTTCCCCAGACTCCCCCACTCAAACACGCCCATCCCATTTCCTTCCTTCACTCCCTGCCCTCCTCATCCTCCTCTGCTGCTCGCCCCCCTCCTTCCCTCAACCCCCTCGTCCTCCCCCTTCCGCAACTTCCCTCGTCCCCCCCCCCCCTTCTCACTTCTCCACCCCAGTCGAACCAAGTGCTCGAGACGTTTGGGATCGCCAAGGCAGTGCGCAATAACAACTCATCCCTCCTTGTCCTCTCAATCCCCCCTCCCCATCACCCTCTTCCCAACCCCTTCCCCCCTTCCTCCCTTCTCCTCCCAGTCGAATCAAGTACTGGAGACGTTTGGGAACGCCAAGACAATGCGCAACGACAACTCATCGCCCTTTCCCCTCATCCCCGATTGCCCCCTCATTCCCCCCTCTTTCCTCATCCCGCCTACCCCCTTCGTCCCCCTCCTTCCCTCCTCCACCCCAGTCGAACCAAGTCCTGGAGACGTTTGGGAACGCCAAGACAGTGCGCAATAACAACTCGAGGTAAGACCCCTCCCAGGCTCCTCAACAGGGGTTGCAGGGGTGGCAGAGCAGTCTCTTTTGTAAGTGAGGTTTTCTTTCATTGAGGTTCTCTTTGACAGTAATGGCATGGTGACACGAGTGGCAGGGGTTGCCAGGGTGACAGGGTGACAGCGATGGCAGGGTGGGAGGTGCAGGCGCTTCGCTGTCACCCACCTTCTTCGCCTTGGCAGCGATGGCCAATTTGTACAGCCCCTTCTTCTGATGCGCTTTAACCAACCCTCGCACTCTTTCCTTTCCACGCCCTCTGCTGCCCATTATTTTCCAACCCCTCCCCCCCCTCAACTTTTCCCCTACCTGCCTTCCTCCCCCATCCCTCTCCCTCCAGTCGTTTGCAAGTTCACTGAGATTTACATCGACAGCAAAAGCAGGGTGACAGGTGACCCTGATACACCCGTCCCTTCCCATCCCACCCCCTCTGCTCTGCCCATTCTCCCCTTCTGCCTCTGCCCAATCGTTCCTTTTGCCCCAGTCGCTTTGGCAAGTTCATTGAGATTCACTTTGACAGCGATGGCAGGGTGACAGGAGCAGCCATTCGGTTGCCAAAGCCCCTGCTGAGCACCCTAAACTAACCTTGATACACCCTTTCTTCCCACACTCTCTGCCTTCTACCTCGCCCCCCAGTCGTTTCGGCAAGTTCATTGAGATTCACTTTGACAGTGACGGCCGAGTGACAGGGGAAGCCATTCTCCACGCCCTGTGCTCTGCCCATTCCCAACCTCGTCCCCACCCTCTCTCCCCCACCCCTCGCCCCCCAGTCGCTTTGGCAAGTTCATTGAGATTCACTTTGACAGTGATGGCAGGGTGACAGGGGCAGCCATTCTCCATGCCCTGCGCTCTGCTCATTCTCCATCTCACCCCCCACCCACCCCTCGCCCCCCATCCTCATTCCACGACCCCTCTCCCGCCCACCCCTCCCCCACCAGTCGCTTCGGCAAGTTCATTGAGATTCACTTCGACAGCGACGGCAGGGTGACAGGGGCAGCTATTAGATCGTACCTGCTAGAGCGGTCCAGAGTGGTGCAGATCAGTAGCCCTGAGCGCTCCTACCACTGCTTCTATCAGCTGCTCTATGGGGCCACACCCGAGGTGAGTGAGTGAGTGAGAAAGTGAGTGGAGGGAGAGAGTGAGTGAGTGAGGGTGCTGTGATGGTTTATGTGTGCGTTTAAGTCAACCTTCTTGGTATGAAGTGGTGCAGCTTTATCACCCCAAGCGCTCCTATCACTGCTTCTATCAGCTACTCTATGGGGCTACACCCGAGGTAAGCGAGTGAGTCAGAGGATTGAGTGATTGAGGGTGTTGTGATGGTGTATGTGTGCGTTTGATTCAACCTTCCCGGTCCAGAGTGGTGCAGATCAGTAGCCCTGAGCGCTCCTACCACTGCTTCTATCAGCTACTTGGGCCACGCCCGAGGTGAGAGGACTTTTGAGTCGCCTCAGAAGTCACTTTGGTAGCCCCGAGCGTCCTATCACTGCTTCTACCAGCTGCCCTATGGGGCCACGCCCGAGGTGAGAGTGTGTGTGCGTTTGAGTCGACCTGGTTAAGAGTGGTGCAGCTTTCTAGCCCGGAGCGCTCCTATCACTGCTTCTATCAGCTTCTCTATGGGGCCACGCTCGAGGTGAGAGAGCGAGCGAGATAGTGAGTGAGCGAGTGAGTGAGTGAGTGAGGAGTTATAGAGGGAGTGAGTGAGGGAGTGAGGAGTTATAGAGGGAGTGAGGGAGTGAGGAGTGAGTGGGAGTGGGCGAGGGAGTGACGGGGAGAATACGCTTGTCAGTGCGACTTTTGAGAATACGCTTGTCAGTGCGACTTTTGAGAATTCTCAAAAGTCGCTCCAGAATACGCTTGTCGTTGGGCTGAGCTAAGCTAAGCGTTTCTGCCTCCCTTTCCTCGTTCCCTTTTTCCCTTTTCCTCCCTCCATTTTTGTCCACACGGTAAGAAGCAGAGAAGTATTTCCTCCTCACAGAGGTTGAGGCTTGAGCGTGCTTCAAAGCTCCTCTGGTTGACGTAGAGCAAAGCAACTGTTACGAGCTATGCACCTCCTTCTCCCTCCCCGTTGCCCCTTTCCTCCCTCCCCTATTCCCCCTGCCCTTCCTCCCCCCTCCCCCAACCCCCCTCAACCCCCCGCCTCCTCTTCCTTCCTGTCCACACGGACCACACCACACAGGAAGCAGAAAAGTATTCTTTGCCCACAGAGGGAGAGCGAGGAACAAATTTTTACTACTTGGCGCAGAGCGACTGCTACGAGCTGCCCGGAAAGAACAGCAACGCGATGGAGTATGAATCGACACGCAACGCTATGAACGTGATGGGGTTCGACCCACGCGAGCAGGTGGGCCCAAGGTGGTGATCAATTTGAAAAGGCCCGCATGAACAGGTGAGAACTAGCTGCTGACTTTTGAGTCGACTCAAAAGTCAGGTGATGGGGTTCGACCCAAGCGAGCAGGTGGGCCCAAGCGGGTGATGAATTCAAAATGACCCTCACACTCCCTCTCGCCCGCCCTTGCTTGCACTCGCACGCACGTCGGGGCTCTTGCATGCCCGCTGTGCCATGCCATACGACTTGCTGATGGGGTTCGACTTGCTGTGCAAGGATGAGAGTTGTGGGCAATGGGCATGGGCTGTGGGCTTCGAGTTGACTCAAACACACGCGGGAGCGGGTGAGTGCCCACAACCCTGTGCCCTGTTTCCCCATTCATTCCCCCCACCACCAGGAGGGCATACTCGCAGTGGTGGCAGCGATACTGCATCTGGGCAACGTGGAATTCATTCGACCCGACCAGAGGGCACTGACGGGACAGCTGTTGCTCATGCTTCTCCCATTGCCGTGCCCCATTCCCTCATCACCCCATCACCCCATTCCCCACCACCAGGAGGGCATATTCGCAGTGGTGGCAGGCATCATGCATCTGGGCAACATGGACTTAACGCAGCCGGAGAGCACGGATGGAGCAGGGCAGGGTGGGCAAACAACAGAGAGCAGAGGGCAGAGGGCAGAGGGCAGAGGGCAGAGGGCAGAGGGCAGAGGGCAGAGGGCAGAGGGCAGAGGGCAGAGGGCAGAGGGCAGAGGGAAGAGGGCAGAATCAGCTTGCCTTGGTCATGCGTTTGGCCCTTTCCCCCAACCCCCTATCTCAGGAGGGCATATTCGCAGTGGTGGCGGCCATTATGCATCTGGGCAATGTGGATTTTACGCAGCTGGAGAGCACGGCTGTGCCGTGCTGTCGAACATGTTCGTGTTCGACCCGCCGCCGCCAAATGACCTTGTCGAACGACGAACGTGTTCGGGCGAACACCGAACATGTTCGCCCCGAACGATTTAGGCAAAAAATAAGCCTGTTAGGTTCGCCTCGAGCGTTCGTGAAGCTGCTCAACCCTAGGTTGGAGTCACGGGAGCGGGTGGGTGGATGCAAGGGGGTGAGTTGTGGGGATTGGGCATGGCTGGGCTGTGGCGTTCACCCAGCCGGAGAGCATGGAGGGGCGGGGCAGGGGAGACAGCAGAGAGCACAAATCAGGGAGCAGTGAGCGGAAAGTAGCACCCCTTGATCATGCTTTCGCCCCACTGACTCATTCCCTCATTCTCTCGTTTCCCCATATACTCCCCAACTTATTCCCCCACCACCAGGAGGGCATATTCGCAGTGGTGGCTGGCAGTCATAATGCATCTGGGCAATGTGGACTTCATGCAGCCAGAGAGCACGGATGGGACAGGCGAGCAGCCCTTCACTCATGCTCCTCACACCTGCTCTTCCACTCCTGCTCTTCACTCGTGCTCATTGCTGCCATCTCCCCCATCTCAGGAGGGCATATTTGCAGTGGTGGCGGCCATTATGCATCTGGGCAACGTGGACTTCATGCAGCCAGAGAGCACGGATGGCACAGGAGAGCTCCCCTCTCTGGTGGCAAAGAACGACAAGGCAGAGGCTGCAGTCAAGACTGTAGCACGCCTGCTCGAGTAGGTTTCGCCTGTGATGTGGGTGGTACCTGGGAAGGGGCCATGCGGTCAGCATGGGTGGGATGGGATGAAAAGCCAGGAGAGCAGCCCCCTCTGGTGGTATTGAAATCACTTGTGAGAATTCTCAAAAGTGATTTCAATGAAGCCAGAAGAGCAGCCTCCTCTGGTGGCAAAGAACGACAGGGGGTGGGCTGTATGCTGCTGTCAGTGTGGGTGGCACCGTGGCATGGAATGGCGAGCAGAAGAGCAGCCTCCTCTGGTGGCAAAGAACGACAGGGGGTGGGCTGTATGCTGCTGTCAGTGTGGGTGGCACCGTGGCATGGAATGGCGAGCAGAAGAGCAGCCTCCTCTGGTGGCAAAGAACGATAGGGGGTGGGCTGTATGCTGCTGTCAGTGTGGGTGGCATGGAATGGCGAGCAGAAGAGCAGCCTCCTCTGGTGGCAAAGAACGACAGGGGGTGGGCTGTATGCTGCTGTCAGTGTGGGTGGCATGGAATGGCGAGCAGAAGAGCAGCCTCCTCTGGTGGCAAAGAACGACAGGGGGTGGGCTGTATGCTGCTGTCAGTGTGGGTGGCACCGTGGCATGGAATGGCGAGCAGAAGAGCAGCCTCCTCTGGTGGCAAAGAACGATAGGGGGTGGGCTGTATGCTGCTGTCAGTGTGGGTGGCATGGAATGGCGAGCAGAAGAGCAGCCTCCTCTGGTGGCAAAGAACGACAGGGGGTGGGCTGTATGCTGCTGTCAGTGTGGGTGGCATGGAATGGCGAGCAGAAGAGCAGCCTCCTCTGGTGGCAAAGAACGACAGGGGGTGGGCTGTATGCTGCTGTCAGTGTGGGTGGCATGGAATGGCGAGCAGAAGAGCAGCCTCCTCTGGTGGCAAAGAACGACAGGGGGTGGGCTGTATGCTGCTGTCAGTGTGGGTGGCATGGAATGGCGAGCAGAAGAGCAGCCTCCTCTGGTGGCAAACAATGATGGGGAAGAGCCTGCAGTCAACACAGTGGCACGCCTGCTAGAGTAGGTGGAGGGGAGGGTGCCTGTTGTTTGGGTGTTACCTGGGTAAGCGACGGGCGGTACTGTGCTTTCATCAGGCGAGCAACCTCTCCTGGTGGCCAAGAACGACAAGGCAGAGGCCGCAGTTAAGACTGTGGCTCGCCTGCTCGAGTAGGTGGAGTGGAGGGCATGGCATGGCTATGGAGTAGATAGTACCTGGAAGGGGATGGGCCCTCACTCGTTGTCCTCGTCGCTCCTCCGCCCACCTTCTACCCCTCATCCCCTTCCCCTCCCTCAGGTGCGACGAAACCGCGCTGTGGGACTCGCTGGTCTCTCAGACGCGCAAGTTCGGGCGGGAGGTCATTAAGAGCCCGCTGGATCCCAAGAAGGCGTCAGTCAAGCGAGACACCCTCGCCAAGTTCCTTTACTCGCGCCTCTTCGACTGGTGGGTGCCTCCTCCAACCCCCGTGTCCTGTTCGAATGGTGAATGCTTGAGTCATATCCACAGCACCAAGCGAGACACCCTAAACCCTTAAACCTGGTGAGCTCGCCGTCCCAACCCCTTCTCTCGTTGAGTTTCATCCCAGTTCATGTGTTCTGTTTTTGATTGAAGAAGGGTTTTGAGACGTCTCAAAACCCTTCTTCAATCACGTGTTTATCCCAGTTCATGTGTTCTGTTCTTCCGCTGCTCCTCCCGTCCCCGCCACCAGGATTGTGTCAAAGGTCAATGAGAGCATCAGGCAGGACCCAAACCTCCTTGCTTCTCCTCACTAGCATGCCCACCTTTTACTGCTTCCACTCTCTGTCTCTCTGCCACCCTCTCTCTGCCACCCTCTCTCTGCCGCCAACAGGATCGTGTCAAAGGGTCAATGAGAGCATCCAGCAGGAAGGATCCCAACCATGCATCGGGCGGGCCCTGTCATCTCACTTCCCTTGCCACCCTGAGTTGATTCCACTCTCTGTCTGCCACTCTGCCTCCCGCCACCAAGATCGTGTCAAAGGTCAACGAGAGCATCGGCCACCAAGATCGTGTCAAAGGTCAACGAGAGCATCGGCCAGTACCCCAACCATACGCCTCCCTTTGTTGCGCCTTTGCTCTCCGTCTGTCTGCTGTTCTGTCTGCCAGGATTGTGTCAAAGGTCAACGAGAGCATCGGCCAGGACCCCAACCACGCGTCCATCATCGGAGTCCTTGATATTTATGGCTTCGAGCACTTCAAAGTCAACAGGTGTGCGTGTGTGTGTGTGTGTGTGTGTGTGTGTGTGTGTGTGTGTGTGTGTGTGTGTGTGTGTGTGTGTGTGCGCGCGTGCGTGTGTGTGTGTGTTGGGGAGGGGGTGCATGCGTGTGTGCTGAGTCGACTCAATACAAACCACGCGTCCATCATTGGAGTCCTTGATATTTATGGCTTCGAGCAATTCAATATCGACAGGTGTGCGTGCGTGTGTTGGGGAGAGGGGGGTGTGGAGTCGACTCAAAGAAAACGACGCGTCTATCATTGGAGTCCTTGATGTTTACGGATTCGAGCATTTCAAAGTCAACAGGTGCGTGCACTTTTAATCGAGGGTGCGTGCACTCATGCTTGTTGAAACCTTTGTCTGGATTGGATTGCCACTCTTGTGGACTTACTGCTCTCGTTTGCCACTCTTCTTGCCCAGTTTCCTCCTGTTTCGTTTCTCCACCTATTTCTGCCCCCCCTCTTCACCTGTATGTTTTCTCTCTCCCCTCTCTTCCTGCTCTTCTCCCAAACGTCTTCACCCCATACTCTTCCTTCTCTCCCGTTTCTCACGCCCAGTTTTGAGCAGCTGTGTATCAATCTCACCAACGAAAAGCTGCAGCAGCATTTCAACTCGGTAGGTCACTCACCAGAACCTACCGAGCAGAATTTCAGGCACTTGGGCTGGGACAATGAAGTAAGGGGTGTTTCTGTTTCTCTGTGCTTTCCCTTTTCCTTCGTCCCCTTCTCTTCTGCTCTGTCCCGTGCTACTACTCAACGTCCTGCCATTATCCCTTCCCACCTCTGCCCTAAGTTGCAAAATACGCTCAGGACACTGTGCGTTTAGCGGATATACGCTAGCGTTTACACGCTAAACGCTAAACGCAAGGTAATACGCTATACGCTTGCCAATTTTTTTTGGGGCAGCCCGACCGAAAAAAAATGTGAATATACGGAAAGATGCGGAATTGCACGACGAGCGTTTTGCCACCGTCAAATTCACGTCCGCGGTTTGTGCAAGAGTGAACGGCAATTTCCGCGCTGATCGGCAATTTCCCTTCCCCGCAGATCCGCGCAGATTGAAGGTTCTTCCCGCAGAGGGGATGGGGGGAAAGACTCTCCCTATATCAACGTCTTGTAGATCTGGACTGGAAGTGACGTGACGACTGTACAAATTTCAAATATCAAATTGGTTGGATGAGATAGATGCAATGCGGTGAAGATAGGTGATGGGAGGGGGAATTGGTTTTTAAGGCAACATTGGCGATGGGTGTGGGGCACGAATTCCAGCATTGGCGATGGTTTCCCTGTCCAGGATCTCTCCTACGCCTCCTCCTACACTCTAGCAATCATGCCTTGTGATCGCGAGCCCGAAGCAGAGCAGATTCGCGCAACGCTATTGCAGTCTATAGCCTACGAACTCTGCATCTTAACCCGATTTTGTGCCGAGTCAAGGGTGGTTATCTTGGAATGGAGAAAAACTTACCTCTGAAACATAAACCCTTAGATCCCCCCCCCCTATAATAGCCCGGGCGGAATTTTTTCCCTGCCCGGGAATGTTTTTTTCCTGCCCCAAAAAGCGTATGTCCAAATCGCTCCCTTACGCGTATAGCGTATATACGCTAGCGTGTATACGATACGCGTATATACGCTAGCGTGTATACGATACGCGTATATACGCTATAAGCGTATTTTGCAACTTAGCCTCTGCCTGCAAATAGCTGAGTATGAGGCAGAGGGCACAGACTGGTTTGATTCACCCGCTTTCCCCCACCGCAACCACCCACTCCCAGAAAAAACACCTCACGCCACCCCTCAACATCCCCCACTATCCCTCAACACCTACCCCCACTCCTTACCACCACAGCATGTGTTGAAGCAGCAGCAGGAGGAGTACGAGGCAGAGCCGCAGAGGGCATAGACCTGTGTGCGTCGCTCGCTTCCCCAATCTTACCACCATACCCCCACAACCCCTTCCCTTCCCCCCCATTTCTCCACACACAGCACGTGTTGAAGCAGCAGCAGGAGGAGTACGAGGCAGAGGGCATAGATTGGTCTCGGATTGATTTCGTTGACAACCAAGACGTGCTCGAGCTGGTTGAAGGGGTGAGTGAGTAGAGGGGGCGTCTGTCTGAGAAGCCTAAAAAACCCGACTAGTACGAGGCAGAGGGCATAGAATGGTCTCGAACTGATTTTGCTGACAACCCAGGCGTGCTTGAGCAAATTGAAGGGGTGGGTGAGGGGTGGTCTCTTCTTTGTAGTGAAGGTAAGAGACGAATTTCCTGGGGCAGGGAGGAGGAGGAGGGGGGATAAATTTTCTGGAAGAAATTGAGATCATCTGTTTCTTTTAGTACATTTGATGCAATCTGCTTTGGATTCCTCTGTTTCGCTTGCAGCAACAGCTGGGGCGAGCGGGCTTTGCTTATGTGCATGTGATGCGATGCTTCTTGCTCTCTGGTGCTGGTTCGTCGAACCTTTTCATGCATGTATGTTCGCATGTGTGCATTCGTGCATGTGTGCATGTGCCCATGTGCGCATGCGTGTATGTGTCCATGCATGTGTGCATGTGTGTGTGTGTCCATGCATGTGTGCATGTGTGTGTGTGTGCCCATGTCCCTGGACTCATGTGTGCCATTCCCTGGACTCATGTGTGCCATTCCCTGGACTCATGTGTGCCATTCCCTGGACTCATGTGTGCCATTCCCTGGACTCATGTGTGCCATTCCCTGGACTCATGTGTGCCATTCCCTGGACTCATGTGTGCCATTCCCTGGACTCATGTGTGCCATTCCCTGGACTCATGTGTGCCATTCCCTGGACTCATGTGTGCCATTCCCTGGACTCATCATGTGTGCCATTCCCTGGACTCATGTGTGCCATTCCCTGGACTCATGTGTGCCATTCCCTGGACTCATGTGTGCCATTCCCTGGACTCATTTGTGCCATTCCCTGGACTCATGTGTGCCATTCCCTGGACTCATGTGTACCACATCTGCAAATGCATGCGCCCATTCCCCTCTCTCCCTGCGCCTCTGTACCCCTGTCCCCCTCTGCGCACGTGATTGCAGAATCAAGGTATTCTTGCACTCCTGGACTCTGCCTGGTACGTACTATACAAGGCATTCAGTGCATATACGCAGTGATAGCTTTCGAAAACCCCCTACCTACTGGTTTCTTGTGTATGCGCTCTGAACATTCTATGAGCCTCATCAAACCCCATGATCTCGTTCACCCATCCTTCTGTGTGTTCGATCCTTTGCACGATACTTCTGTATCGTTCCTGCCATGAACGATACTTCTGTATCGTTCCTGCCATGAACGATACTTCTACCCAGCTTGTCACCCTGAGCCCTCCTGCTCTCTTGCCTCTTCTCCCAACCGCCCCTGCCTGCCGCACCCTCCCTCCTTCCCCCCCCCCCACCAGCAAGCTAGACAGCTCCACGCCTGAGACCTTCTGCCAGACGCTCTACAGCACGTTGGGCAAGCACAAGCGGTTCTCCAAATCCAAGATGTCGCGCTCTGACTTTAGTGTCAAGCACTATGCTGGCAAGGTGGGGAGGTGGTGGTGGTGGGTATGGGATGTTTTGAAGGGGTTAAGAAGACCATCTTGTGTTCGGGTGAGAAATGGGGGAGTGAGTGAGGGACGAGGCAGGTGTGTGAGATGTTTCAAGCACAAGCGCTTCTCCAAGTCTAAGATGTCACGAGCTGACTTCAGTGTGAAGCACTACGCTGGCAAGTATACATGGGCATTTGACCCGGACGGGTCGGGTAACCCGACCCGACCCGCCCTTTAGGGCGGGTCGGGTCAGGAATGCTGAGAAGGCCGACCTGCCCGGGCCGGGTCGGGAAAACCCGGGCGGGTCGGGTCGACCCGTGACCCGTCACTGTGATTTAGTGACGGGTTTTTGCGACCCGCCGGGTCAGGTTGACCCGTCCCGTCCGGGCCGCGTACCCAGTCAAATGACAGGGTTACCTGACCCGTTTTCGGATTAGGGTAGGGGTTGAACATTGGTTGGTTTTTTAGGTTTTTTTTCCCTCGACATTCTGATCTAGTCGCTAGACTAGATCAAGGCTAGTACTTCTGCGCTGCAGCTAGGGAGCCTCATACAGTCTTCACTCTTCAATGTTAGCACTATTTAAACTGCATATTATCTTCAGGTTAGGGTTTGGCGCTCCCGCCATTTCGCAGCGTCGCACGACCAGGGGCGCAGCAGCGCGCGTGCGGCCACGCATTGGCGGGATCGCGTCCCCGCAATAGCGCGATCTCGGCCCCGCGTTTGCTCAGCGCGATCACGGCCCCGCATTGGCGCGATCGCCGCCCCGCATATGCGCGATCGCGGCACCGCATTAGGACAGGGCGATCGCGGCCAGGTTCAGCATCGCGATCAGGCAGCGCGATAGGGCAGCGCGATCGCGGCCACCTTCAGCAGCGCGAAGGTGCCACCTTCAGCAGCGCGAAGGCGCCACCATCAGCAGCGCAAAGGCGCCACCTTCAGCAGCGCGATTATAGTTGTAACATGTAGTTTACAATGTAGCAATTCAGACCTAACCCCCATACCCTGCTGCTATGTAGCATATTTTGATCCGACCCGACCCGACCCGTGGTGTAACCGACCCGGTAACGGGTCACAAATACCCGTTCCCACGGGGCGGGTCGGGTCACCAAAACAGAGTCAAACCCGACCCGCTAACCCGACCCGACCCGACCCGTTAAGCTAACGGGTCGCCCTCAACGGGACGGGTCGGGCCGGGTCGGGTCAAATGCCCATGCTTGCTGGCAAGGTGCGAGGAAGGGAGGGTATGGGACGGACGTGCCCCCCTTATTAGGGGTTCATGTCATGTGCGAGGGAGGGACAGTGGAGGCGTGTGAGGCATGTGTGTGAGATGTTTCAAGCACAAGCGCTTCTCCAAGTCCAAGATGTTGCGTTCTGAGTTCAGCGTGAAGCACTACGCTGGCAAGGTGGGGGGAAGGAGTTGGGGTGCTTAGATTGTAGGGAGATTGGAGGGAATGTCGTGGGTGGGTGGGTGGGGTTGGCCGCCCACCCTGTATTAAGGGATCACATGGGAGGGAGGGGAAACGGAGGTGTATGAGATGTTCCGAGCACAGGCGCTTGTCCGGGTCAGGTGGGACAAGCAGAGGTCCAAGATGTCGCAAGCTGAGTTCAGTGTCAAGCACTACGCCGGCAAGGTGGGGGGCGAGGGGGGGTATGGGACGCCCTATATTGGCGAGGAGTCATGTGAGAGGGATGAGAGGGATGCCTGAAGTCAACATCCCCTACCCCCACACCCCTCCCCACATCCACCTACAGGTGAAGTACAAGGCGGAGGAGTTTCTGGTGAAGAACCTCGACGCGCTCGTGCTCCGGCTCTGAAATCTTGCACACATTGACTCGTGCCATTTCTCCCCTTCATTCTCCCCTTCATCCCACTGCAGGTGAAGTACCAGGCAGAGGAGTTTCTGGTAAAGAACCTCGATGCCCTGGTGCCAGAGCATGAGGAGCTGCTGGCACGGTCGCACTCTGCCTTTGTGCGAACGCTCTTCCCACCGCCCGAGACCGGGAAGGCAGGGAAGGCCGTGTCCCTGGGGAAGAGGTTCAAGGTGAGAGGCTGGGGGTGATGAGGTAGGTGGAGTGAAGATGTATGGGGCTACGTGGAGTGAGTGAGATGCTATGGGGTTATGTGGAGTGAGAGGGGATGGGGGTGGGGAGAGCAAGGCGAGCACGAGGAGCTGCTAGCTCGCTCCCACTCTGCCTTTGTGCGAACGCTCTTCCCGCCGCCCGAGACTGGCAAGGCGGGCAGACCGTGTCCCTGGGGAAGCGGTTCAAGGTGAGGGGAGCATGGGGATGAAGCATAACAAGGTCTAGTGGTCAACAAGGTTATGCCACAACAAGGTTACTATGCATGTTTTTTGAGAATTCTCAAAAAACGAAGGCCGTGTCCCTGGGGAAGAGGTTCAAGGTGAGGGGAGCATGGGGAGGAAGCACAACCAGGTCTAGTGGTCAACAAGGTTATCCCTCAACAAGGATACTATGCGTTTCACTTCACGTGTTAAGGATATAGGTGGGCTTTTCTGGTGGGCTTGCTGTCATCGGCTCCTCTTGCCTTTCCCATCCCTATCCCTCTCCTCGCCACATCCCATATCATCCCTCCCCCTCCCCAGGAGCAACTGGGCGAGTTGATGCGCACGCTCAACGCAACCGAGCCGCACTATGTGCGGTGTGTGAAGCCCAACAAGGACCTCAAGCCGCAGAAGTTCTCCAACACGCTTGTGGTGGAGCAGTTGCGATCAGGGGTGAGCGGGGCAGGCAGGGCCCATTGGGTCAGGTCAGGGGTGAGTACCACTCAGGGGTGAGTACCGCTCAGGGGTGAGTACCGCTCAGGGGTGAGTACCGCTCAGGGGTGAGTACTGCTCAGGGGTGAGTACCGCTCAGGGGTGAGTGCTCCACAGGCTATCCCCTTAGCAAGCACCTCTCGCTCGTCTTTGTCGTCCCTTTTTGTCCCGCTCCACTCCCCTGTCCCTAATGCCGCTCCACCCCCCTGTCCCTAATGCTGCTCCCCTCGTTTCTCCCAGGGTGTGCTAGAAGCAGTGCGACTTTGCTCCACATGCTACCCGGCTCGGCGCACTTGTCCCCACTGACCCTCTGCGTCTTTTGAGACATCTCAAAAGTTGTCCCCACTGACCCTCTGCGTCTTTTGAGACGTCTCAAAAGTTGTCCCCACTGACCCTCTGTGTCTTTTGAAATGTCTCAAAAGTTGTCCCCACTGACCCTCTTCGTCCCTGACCCTTCTCCTCCTCTCCTCTCCCCCCAGGGTGTGCTAGAGGCAGTGCGACTTTGCTCCACGGGCTACCCAGCTCGGCGCACGTTTGAAGACTTTGAGGCACGGTTCAGCCCGCTGCTGCCGAGCCAAGAAAGAAAAAGGTGAAACTTGGATGTTGCAGATGAGTTTTGAGAATTCTCAAAGCGCACCTGCAAAACGAGGTGATGCTTAAGAGACATCGCAGCAAGAGGCTTTGAGGCGCGGTTCAGCCCGCTGCTGCCGAGCCAAGACAGAAAAAGGTGGGCGGCAGGGGGGGAGGGGTGCGATGGAGGGAGAAAGGGGTGGGCAGCACCATGGCAGGAAGGAAGGGGTGCGATGGAGGGGGAAAGGGGTGGGTGGCAGGAAGAGCTCCCCTTTCCCCTTCCATGGCAGGAAGGAAGGGGTTGGCAGAAGAGGAAGGAGGAAGAGTGCTTTCTTGCTATTTCTTCATGCCTGCCTTGCTCCACACTGAAGAAAGTGGATCGGTGAACTTAGGGCACGATAGGAAGAAGAAATCTCCTTAGCAAGAAAATGGTACAAGTCTTAAAGACTAGAGCAAGGTCCTTGTCAAGGATAATCCCTAGTGAAGTGGGAAGTCACATATATGTGGCTGAACTCTTGAGGCTAGCTGCAGCACCTCAATGCTGAGGGCTAGACTAGCCAACCTTGCCAAGCTAGCAAGTGAGGCCACATGTTGCACATGTGGGCCAGGCTGGAACAACAGCCCACATGACAGCATATGGCACACCATAGAGGCCAGCAAGGTGAGTGTGGGATGAGATGAGTAGACAGGTGGCAATGCCAGCTGTGACCACACTTCACTGTGGTGGAGTGTGGTAGAGTGTGGACATGTAATGTGGAGCATAATGAGAAGGGAACCTGCAGCTACTGAGAATTGAACCCACAACCTCTAAGACCACAGGTGAGAATCTACCCTCCGGGACATATTTGTTGCACAACACCCCCCCTCAAGGATGTCCCCGGGGTAGGGTTCTTCAAGCGGAGACATGGGTGAGACCGAGAAGACCACGGATGCGTAGAAAAGGGTCACGGGGCAAAGGTTTGGTGCCAATGTCAGCGAGGTTGTCTTGAGTAGGAACATAGTGAAGGGTGACGGAGTGGTCGGCGACATGATCACGAATGAAATGGTGCTTGATGTCGATGTGTTTGGCCTTGGGATGAAAGACGCCGTCGTCCTTGGCCAGAATGATGGCGGCGCTGTTGTCACACGAGATGCGGGTGGGGCCGGGTGGGGGAAGTCCAAGTGCAGTAAGGAGGGATCGAAGCCATAAGGCCTCATGCACCGCGGAGCCCAGAGAATAGTATTCAGCTTCACATGAGGAGGTAGCGACGACAGCTTGACGTTTGGACTGCCAAGAGATGAGTGACGGACCGAGGAAGAACAAGTAGCACGTAACGGAGCGTCGGAGCTCGCCCTCCGGTCCCCAAGAGGCGTCACACCACCCATGGAGTTCAAGGGTGTTGGGAATGCCGCCAAGGAGAAGCCCGAGTGAGGTAGTCCCTTTCAAGTAGCGAGCAACGCGTTTGGCAACCGAGACGTGATGAGTAGACCAATCATGAAGGTGACGAGCAAGAACTCCAGCGCTATATGCGAGGTCAGGACGGGAACCCACCATGGCATACATGATGGATCCGACAAACGAGGTGTAAGGAAAGGAGGAGGAGTGTGGTGAGGAAGTCACGGGCGGCTGAAACTTGGTGTCCATGGGGGTGGCAGCAGGGTTAAGTGGTGTGAATGAGTAGGTGTCTAAGATGGAGGTGATGAATTTGGATTGATGAAGGTGGAGAGTGCGTGAGGTCCGATCACGAGTGATGTGAAAGCCAAGGTAGTACGGAAGAGGACCGAGGTCAGGAAGCTTGAAGCGAGATGAAAGGGCACGCTTGAATGAGGAGAGAAGAGAAGAGGAGGAGGAAAGAATGATGAGGTCGTCAACATAGACGAGAAGCATGAAGAAAGATGCAGCTGTAGGCCGATAAGGAGATTGTGGAGTAGCAATGAAGAGGCCGGGGTCCGCACGGGCAGCAAAAAGGTGAAATGCAGCAAACTCTTCACGAAGTTTGCGGTACCAGCACCGCGGCGCTTGCTTCAACCCGTACAACGGTTTGTGCAAGAGACAAACTTGCTCAACACCATGGACCGCCGGAAGCTCATAACCGGGAGGCTGCATCATGTAGAGAATTTCATCAAGAGTGCCGTTGAGGAAGGCGTTGGAAATGTCCAGCTGATGGACTTCCAGGTCGAAAGCGGCAGCAATGGTGAGGAAGAGGCGGAGGGTGGCGAAGCGAACGGTAGGAGCAAAGGTGTCATGGAAATCAACACCGTCGCGTTGTTTGAAACCTTTGACAACAAGGCGGGCCTTGCGGCGTTCAATAGAACCATCAGCATGCTCCTTGACCTTAAAAATCCATTTGCATGGAATCGGTTTGCACTTGGGTGGTCGAGGAACAACGCTGTAAGTGTCATTAGCGTGCAGGGCAGCGAGTTCCGCATCAGCAGCCTTGATCCATTCAGCAGCATCAGGGCCGGTGCGGGCCTCATGAATGTTTTGAGGTTCGTAATGATGATGAAGGGCGGCATTAGAAGAGGGCTTGGAGAGAGGAGGAAGGGTGAAGTCAATGGGTTCAGAAGAAGAGGGTAGGACCTTGAGCAGTGAGAAAAGTGAAGGATTGGAAGGAGCTGAAGGGGATGGTGGTGAGGAACTAGAGGTGCAAGGGGGAGGACGAGCTGAAGAAGGAGAGGAGAGGGATAGAAGGCGGAAGTCTTGCGGCGTCGAGGGCAGAGGAAGATTGGAAAACAAAGGAGGAGGAGAAGAGGTTGCTGGTGCTGGCAGAATTGGAGATGGGGGGAGGAGGGTGGTGGAAGAGGTCATGGGAGGTGAACGAGAGGGAGGGGAGGTTGGGTCTGAGAGGGAAGGGGGTGGAGGAGGCGGAGAGGATGATATGGGTGGTGGAGATGACGATGGAGGTTCTCGAGGGTCATCCGAAGGTGGCGAAGAGGGCTCCATGAAGATGACATCACGAGAAAGTGTGACACGGTGCTAAGTTGGGATATAGATGCGATAAGCTTTGGTGCCGTCAAGATGACCATACCCAACCATGACGCCGGCCGTGCTTCGGTCGTCGAGTTTGGAGCGGCGTTGCGGAGGAACGAGGAGTGAAACGGGTGAACCGAAGATGCGGAGGTGGGATACGTCCGGACGTGCACCGGTCCATAGTTCTATGGGAGTCTTGGAAGCTGAACCACCCCGACTAATAGCATGATTTCGGAGATAGGCAGCAGTGAGAGCGGCTTCACCCCACCATCCTCTGTCCTTGTGTGCGTCATGAAGCATGGAACGGACCATCTCAAGTATAGTCCGATTGGCGCGTTCAGCAACTCCATTTTGTTCGGGTGTGTATGGCGTAGAGCGGTGTTGAGCGATGCCATGAGCATTAAGGAATGAAGTGAAGGCCTCGGAATTGAATTCCAAGGCACCATCGGAGCGAAACGCTTTGATGGTCCTTGGGGAATGCATATTGTGCACCCGAGTGACGTACGCTTTGAAGCACGACAATGCCTCTGAACTGTAGAATGAGGATCGGTGAACTTGAGGCACAATGAGAGAAGAACAATATATCCTTAGTAGGAAGATGGTACAAGCCTGAAAGGCTAGAGCAATGTCCTTTCCAAGGATGAGTTCTAGAGAAGTGGGAAGCCACATTTATGTGGCTGAACTCTTGAGGCTAGCTGCAGCACCTCAAAGCTGAGGGCAGGGCTAGCCAACCTTGCCAAGCTAGCAATTGAGGCCACATGTTGCACATGTGGGCCAGGCTGGAACAACAGCCTACATGGCAGCATGTGGCACACCATAGGAGCCAACAAGGTGAGTATGGGATGGGTGGACAGATGGCAATGCCAACTGTGACCACACTTCACTGTGGGTGAGTGTGGTGGAGTGTGGGAGTGTCATGTTCGGCATAATGAGAAGAGAAGGTGCTGCCGATGAGAGTTGAACCCGCGACCACTAAGACCAAAGGTACCCACTGGGACATTCTTGCTTCCACAACATGAACGATGGCGTAGTAGATACACGGTAATGTGGCGCGAATAGTCGTCGATGAAGGTGAGAAGGTAGCGAGCGCCTCCAATGGTAGTTCCATATGAAAAGGGTCCAGCAATATCCGAATGAATGAGTTGGAGCGGTGCGGTGGTGCGAGAATGGGACACACCAAATGGTTGACGCGTTTGTTTCCCACGATAGCACGAGATGCATTGAGGAGTTGAGGAGGAGGAGAGGTTAAGACCGGAGACCAGCTGCTGCCGATGAAGTGTTGACAAGTCCCGCATGTTAAGATGCCCGAAACGGCGATGCCAAAGGTATGAGGAGGAGGTGGTGGAGACTGGACATGCCGATGGGTTGATGGGGGGGGCGGCACTCTTTCCATGATGCAGCTGAAGATAGAACAGATTGTTGCGGGTAAAGCCCTCGCCAATAAGAGCCTCATCAGTCTTGAGCTCAACCCGCCCAGCAATGGGGAAGGAAACGGCAATGCCGGCAGCTCCAAGTGCACGAACTGAGAGCAGATTGTGAACCGATGAAGGGAGAAACAGAACGTTGTCTAGCTGGATGGTGGTTTCCGAGGTTTGGGAACGAAGAGTAGCCACCACCGTGCCGACTCCCAAGACCTTGTAAGTCTCTCCGCCACCAAAGCGAACGATAATATCATCAGTTGGCTGCTGGAGAGATGAAAACAGCGAGCGATCGGAGCAGATATGGGAAGATGCGCCGCTGTCCACCAGCCAAGAAGACGTCCGGACCAGGTTTGATGAAGAGGCCGTGAATGCCAATGCATAGGGAGCACCATAAGGGAAGAGGAGGAGGAGGAGGAGGATGGTGAAGATGAAGAGAGTAGCGACGAGAGGAGTCCAGGTGCGGAGGATGGAGCCGTGGCTGGTGCTGAAAGCAATGTCAACGTACCGGGAATCAGGTACGGACTGAGAGGCTGATGGGGCAGTAGGTGTTGTGGAGGTCGAAAGGATGTCGGCGGAGGAGCTTGTTGACACATGCACCGATGGCTGGATGACAGATTTCTCCCGTCGAGAGCTTTCTTCGATCTCTTTCTTCTTCTTCAACTTGAAGCATTCGTCAATAGTGTGTCCAGTTTTCTTGCAGTAGCGGCAAGTAGGGGACTGGCGGGAACCGGAGCGAATAGGGTGGGAGGGCTGGGAATGGAGGTTGTATGCACCTTCCATGTTGCGGCTTGTACCAGATTGTGACCGCTCCCAATCGGCATCGAGTAGACGTGACTGCAGGTATTCAACCGTCATAGACTTGATGTCTTTCACGGTGCAAATAGTTTTTGTGAGAGTCTTGAAGGAGTCCGGCAGATTGAGAATGATGGAGATTACCACCACCCAAGATGGTAACTCGAAGCCGGCAGATTTGAGTTGGTGCGTAAGATTTCCAACTCGATCGAAGTAGGAGCGAAGACTCATTGTTGGGTCCATCCGTGTAGTGATGAGATCTCGGAGGAGAGCCACTTGTGCATGGTTACCCATGCAGTCAAACCGCGCCATGATACATCCCCACATGTCCTTCGTCGTGTTGGCTTGAGCAAGTGTGAGCGAGAGCTGAGGATGGACGGCTGACATGAGAAGATAGTACGCATGCTCCTCTTTTTCTTCATCCGGCAGCGACGCAATCGAGTGGGCTGTTTTAGGGGCTGCACCATTGTTGCCTTCAGTAGCATCTCCACTGCTGGTTGTGGAGGAGGAAATGGAAGGGCGGGAAGCAACCTTGGGATCTCCAAGAAAGGAGATCAGCCCAAGGACATTAAAGATGTAGCATATCTTTTTCTTCCATGGAATGAAGTTGGAACCATCCGGTTCCAAGATAGGAAGGGTGTGCCGACCGAGAGGCGTCTCAACTTGAGCCATCAAGTGTGCGACGTTCACAAAGCTAGAAGCCTAGCTCTGATAGCATGAAGAAAGTGGATCGGTGAACTTAGGGCACGATAGGAAGAAGAAATCTCCTTAGCAAGAAAATGGTACAAGTCTTAAAGACTAGAGCAAGGTCCTTGTCAAGGATAATCCCTAGTGAAGTGGGAAGCCACATATATGTGGCTGAACTCTTGAGGCTAGCTGCAGCACCTCAATGCTGAGGGCTAGGCTAGCCAACCTTGCCAAGCTAGCAAGTGAGGCCACATGTTGCACATGTGGGCCAGGCTGGAACAAGAGCCCACATGACAGCATATGGCACACCATAGAGGCCAGCAAGGTGAGTGTGGGATGAGTAGACAGGTGGCAATGCCAGCTGTGACCACACTTCACTGTGGTGGAGTGTGGTAGAGTGTGGACATGTAATGTGGAGCATAATGAGAAGGGAACCTGCAGCTACTGAGAATTGAACCCACAACCTCTAAGACCACAGGTGAGAATCTACCCTCCGGGACATATTTGCTGCACAACACACACCACAGGGTGTATATTGTGACGAATCACTCTGTGTGTGTAACCCTTCTCATCCCACCATCCAATCATCCCAACATCTCTGCCGTTCCACCATCTCACCTTCCCGCCTCCCCACCATCCTACGTTGGAAAATACGAGTATCGAGTATTATACGCTAGCGTATTATACGCTAGCGTATTATACGCTTGGTATGTACGCGGTATGCCATGGCTGGCGTATTGCTGATACGCAAAAATACGCTGGGCGGGCAGGTAAAACTTTTTCCCGGGCAGGTTCCGCCCTCGAAATGTAGGGAGTAAAGGTCGCCATGGCGAGGAAGTACTAAAGCTAGGAGAGTTCGAGCTTGACGAGAGTTGGATGAAATGCAAAACGAGAAATGCGGGATTGAAGGAAAGACGAGCTGTGTAGGGATTGAGGAGATGTTCGAACGAGTGAAAGGGGGGAGGTTGAGTTTAGGAGGTTGAGAGGGGTGGTGTGAGGTTGGGGATGTGGGAGGGGTTGGATTTTGAATTTCGAATTGCAGACAGGGGTTGGGTGCTGTGCGAGGTCGAGGGTTCAATTCTCGCCGTCGCAAATTCTCGCAATTTTTTTGGATTTTTTTTTTTTTTTTTTTTTTTTTTTTACGGGCTGCTCCGGCGTATTTTAGCGATTTCTAGGCGTATTAGCGTATTGCGTACATACTCTAGCGTATATACGCAATACGCCCACCCCCCAAGGGCGTATTTTCCAACGTAGCCACCATCCCACCTTCCCACCTCCCCACCACCATCCCACCGTCCCACCTCCCCACCACCATCCCACCGTCCCACCTCCCCACCTCCCCACCTTCCCACCTCCCCACCTTCACCCTTTCCATCATCCCCCCATCTCACCATCCATCTGACAGGCTAGCTGGGCAGCAGCAGGAGATGATTCGTGCAGTCATGACCCACAGCTCGGGTAGGGGTATGGCGGCAGGCAGAAACACTGCTCATCCTACCCATACCACCATGCCTTCCCTTCCCATTCTCACATGGTCATTCTCCTACTTTCCCAACATCCCATCCCACCGCCTGACAGGCTAGCTGGACAGCACCAGGAGATGATTCAAGCAGTTATGGCCCAGGCAGAGCTGGAAGACTATCAGGTGAAATCCCAGGTTGTGTCAGGTGGATTCAACATTGCCAGGTGAGCTGGTGTGACATCAGGTGACATCAACGTCAGGTGGTAAACTCCGACTTCCAAGGTGCTCACAAAGGGGGTGCAGCTGGTGACGCTCGAATTCATCCCTTCTCCTACCCCCCCACTCTCCGCTCTTTCCCTCGTTTTGTTTGTTTCCCCCTTTTTTCATGCCCCAATCCCCCTCCCTCAGGTCGGCCGCACAAAGGTGTTCATAAAGGAGGTGCAGCTGGTGACGCTTGAGTTCATCCCTTCTCCTACTCCCTCGTTTTCCGCTCTTTCCCTCCCTTGTTTGTCTCCCACCCCCTTCCTTCATGCCCCAACTCCCTCCTTGCTGACTTTTGAGTGGACTCAAAAGTCAGCCCTTCCTTCATTTGCCAACTCCCTCCTTGCTGACTTTTGAGTGGACTCAAAATTCAGCCCTTCCTTCATTACCCAACTCCCTCCTCGCTGACTTTTGAGTGGACTCAAAAGTCAGCCCTTCCTTCATTGCCCAACTCCCTCCTCGCTGACTTTTGAGTGGACTCAAAAGTCAGCCCTTCCTTCATGCCCCGATCCCCTCCTCGGTCACACCAAGGTGTTTATGAAGGGGGTGCAGCTGGTGACGCTGGTGCTGATTCCTCCTCCCCCTCATCCCTCGTTCCCTCTTATCCCTCGTCACCCCAACTCCTCCCTCAGATCGGTCACACCAAGGTGTTTATGAAAGGGGTGCAGCTGGTGACGCTGGTGCTGATTCCTCCTCCCCCTCCTCCCTTGTTCCCCTCTTATCCCTCGTCACCCCAACCCCTCCCTCAGATCGGCAAGACAAAGGTGTTTATGAAGGGCTTGCAGCTGGTGACGCTCGAGACTCTCCGTCTCGACCGTATGAACCTCGCTGCCACCAAGATCCAGAGGGCCGTTCGGCGATTCTTGTGGAAGCAGGAGCGCAAGCGGGCTGCTGTTGTCATTCAGAAGCACTGGAGAGGTGCGTTATGGTGTGGTGTGGTGTGGTGTGGTGTGGTGTGGTGTGGTCCAGTGTGGTGCAGTGCGGTGTGGTGGTGTACATCGTTCTCTCCCTGTGTTGTGGTTATTTCTCTACTGGGTGGGTCGTCTCAGCGCTTCCTCGCTGCCTCCAAGATTCAGAGGGCCGTGCGGCTCTTCCTCTGGAAGCAGGAGCGCAAGCGGGCTGCTATTGTCATTCAAAAGCACTGGAGAGGTGCGGTGCGGTGCAGTGTGGTGTGGTGTGGTGTCTTGTCTGTTCTTTGACTGCTTATTGTTCGAAATGTTCTTTCTTTGGAAGTAAGAGTGCATGTGAGCGGCCACTCACATCCATCCACAAATGCTGAAGAGGTGCGGTGAGTTGCAGTGCAGTGCGGTGCGGAGTGGTATAATGCATGCAAGGCGGTTCATTGTCTGGCATGCTTGCTATTCTGTTCAAGAGTTTTTCTTGAACAATTTGGCTTAGAAGCCTCTTGCGCTGGAGGCAGCAGCACATGCAATGCAAGCTGGTGCAGGAATTGAGGCGAGTTTTGCTGAGGTGCACGATGCAGCAGCTGTATTCCTCCAGAAGCACCTAAATTATCAAGTGGCATAGGATGCCACTTGTCAAATGCGAGTGGGTAGAACGGATCTTGCCACTTGTACACATTCCTCTTAAAAAACCTATCATGCGTTCTCAAGACCCTACCTACTTTAACAATTTATTCAAATCCTACCTACTTAGGCTCACTCTTAATCTTAGCATCATATGTGTAGAATGAGGATCGGTGAACTTGAGGCACAATGAGAGAAGAACAATATATCCTTAGTAGGAAGATGGTACAAGCCTGAAAGGCTAGAGCAATGTCCTTTCCAAGGATGAGTTCTAGAGAAGTGGGAAGCCACATTTATGTGGCTGAACTCTTGAGGCTAGCTGCAGCACCTCAAAGCTGAGGGCAAGGCTAGCCAACCTTGCCAAGCTAGCAATTGAGGCCACATGTTGCACATGGGGGCCAGGCTGGAACAACAGCCTACATGGCAGCATGTGGCACACCATAGGAGCCAACAAGGTGAGTATGGGATGGGTGGACAGATGGCAATGCCAACTGTGACCACACTTCACTGTGGGTGAGTGTGGTGGAGTGTGGGAGTGTCATGTTCGGCATAATGAGAAGAGAAGGTGCTGCCGATGAGAGTTGAACCCGCGACCACTAAGACCAAAGGTACCCACTGGGACATTCTTGCTTCCACAACACCCCCCCTCAAGGATGTCCCCGGGGTAGGGTGCCTCAAGAGGAAACATGGGTGAGACCGAGAAGACCACGGATGCGAAGAAAAGGGTCACGGGGCAAAGGCTTGGTCCCAATGTCAGCGAGGTTGTCTTGAGTAGGAACATAGTGAAGGGTGATGGAGTGGTCGGCAACATGATCGCGAATGAAATGGTGCTTGATGTCGATGTGCTTGGCCTTGGGATGAAAGACGCCATCGTCCTTGGCGAGAATGATGGCACTGTTGTTGTCACACGAGATACGGGTGGGGCCGGTAGGGGGAAGTCCAACTGCAGTAAGGAGCGAACGAAGCCATAATGCCTCGTGCACCGCGGCGCCCAGAGAGTAATATTCAGCTTCACATGAAGAGGTAGCAACGCCGGCTTGGCGTTTGGACTGCCAAGAGATGAGTGACGGACCGAGGAAGAACAAGTAGCACGTAACGGAGCGACGCAGCTCCCCCTCCGGTCCCCAAGAGGCGTCACACCAGCCATGAAGTTCGAGGGTGTCGGGAATGCCACCAAGGAGAAGCCCAAGGGAGGTAGTCCCTTTCAAGTAGCGAGCAATGCGTTTGGCAGCCGAGACGTGAGGAGTAGACCAATCGTGAAGGTGACGAGCAAGAACTCCAGCGCTATATGCGAGGTCGGGACGGGTCCCCACCATGGCATACATGATGGAGCCGACAAACGAGGTGTAAGGGAAGGAGGAGGAGTGCGGGGAGGAAGTCACGGGTGGCTGAAACTTTGTGTCCATGGGAGTGGCAGCGGGGTTCAGTGGAGAGAAGGAGTAGGTGTCTAGAATGGAGGTGATGAATTTGGATTGATGAAGGTGGAGAGTGCGGGAAGTTCGATCACGAGTGATGTGAAAGCCAAGGTAGTAGGAGAGAGGTCCGAGGTCACGAAGTTTGAAGCGAGATGAAAGGGCATGCTTGAATGAGGCAAGAAGAGAGGAGGAGGAGGAGAGAATGATGAGGTCGTCAACATAGACGAGAAGCATGAAGAAGGATGCAGCTGTAGGCCGATAAGGTGAGTGAGGAGGAGCAATGAAGAGGCCGGGGTCCGCACGAGCAGCAAAGAGGTGAAAGGCAGCAAGCTCCTCACGAAGCTTGCGGTACCAGCATCGCGGAGCTTGCTTCAACCCGTACAGCGGTTTGTGCAAGAGACAAACTTGCTCAACACCATGGACCGCCGGAAGCTCATAACCGGGAGGCTGCATCATGTAGAGAATCTCATCAAGGGTGCCGTTGAGGAAGGCGTTGGAGATGTCCAGCTGATGGACGTCCAGGTTGAAAGCGGCAGCTATGGTGAGAAACAAGCGGAGGGTGGCGAAGCGGACGGTAGGAGCAAAGGTGTCATGAAAATCAACACCATCACGTTGCTTGAAGCCTTTGACAACAAGGCGGGCTTTGCGGCGTTCAATAGAACCATCAGCGTTCTCCTTGACCTTGAAAATCCCTTTGCATGGAATCGGCTTGCACTTGGGTGGTCGAGGAACAATGATGTAGGTGTCATTAGCGTGCAGGGCAGCGAGTTCCGCATCAGCAGCCTTGATCCATTCGGCAGCATCAGGGCCGGTACGAGCCTCATGAATGGTTTGAGGTTCGTAATGATGGTGAAGGGCAGCATTGGCAGAGGTGTTGGAAAGAGGAGGAAGAGTGAAGTCAATGGGTTCGGAAGGGGATGGTAAGACCTTGAGGAAGGAGAAAAAGGAAGGATCGGGAAGAGCTGAGGGGGATGGCGGGGAGGAGCGAGTCGTGCAATGGGGAGGGGGAGGCGAAGAGGGAGGAGAGAAGGATGGAAGGTGAAAGTCTTGCGGCGTCGAGGGCAGAGGAAGGTTGGAAAACAATGGAGGAGGAGAAGATGTGGCTGGTGCGGGCAGGTTTGGGGATTGTGGGTGGGGGTTGGTGGAGGAAGGTATGGTGGGGGAAGGAGAGGGAGGGGAGATTGGGTCCAAGGAAGAAGGGTGTGTAGGAGGAGGTAGTGAGGAGGATGTGGGTGGAGATGACGATGGAGGGTCGCGAGAGTCGTCGGAAGGCGGTGCAGAGGGCTCGATGAAGATGACATCACGAGAAAGGATGACACGGTGCTGAGATGGGATATAGATGCGGTAAGCTTTGGTGCCGTCGAGATGACCATATCCAACCATGATGCCGGCCGTGCTTCGGTCGTCGAGCTTAAAACGCCGTTGGGAAGGAATGAGGACCGAGACGGGTGAACCGAAGATGCGGAGGTGTGATACATCCGGACGTGCACCGGTCCATAGTTCCATGGGAGTCTTAGAAGTTGAACCACCCCGACTAATGGCATGATTACGAAGATAGGCAGCAGTAAGAGCGGCTTCACCCCACCAGCCTTTGTCCATGTGTGCATCATGGAGCATGGAACGGACCATCTCAAGTAAAGTCCGGTTGGCCCGCTCAGCTACTCCATTTTGCTCAGGTGTGTATGGCGTGGAGAGGTGGCGGGCGATGCCACGAGCTGTAAGGAATGAAGTGAAGGCTTTGGAAGTGAACTCCAAGGCACCGTCAGAGCGAAAGGTTTTAATGGTGTGTGGGGAATGCATGTTGTGCACCCGAGTGACGTAAGCCTTGAAGCATGAAAGTGCCTCCGACTGGTGGCGTAGGAGATACACTGTAATGTAGCGGGAGTAGTCGTCGATGAAGGTGAGACGGTAGCGAGCGCCGCCAATGGTAGTTCCATATGAAAGCGGTCCAGCAATATCTGAGTGAATGAGTTGGAGTGGGGCTGTGGTGCGAGAATGGGACACGCCAAATGGCTGACGTGTTTGTTTCCCACGATAGCATGAGATGCAGGGGGGAATCGAGGTGGAGGAGAGGTGAAGACCGGTGACCAGCTGCTGCCGATGAAGTGTTGACAAGGCCTGCATGTTGAGATGCCCGAAACGACGATGCCAGAGGTACGAGGAGGTGGTGGTGGAGGCTGGACATGCAGTTGGCCTGATAGAAGGAGCAGCACTGCTCCCATGATGCAGTTGAAGATAAAACAGATTGTTGCGGGTGTAGCCCTCGCCAATAGGAACGTCATCAGATGTGAGAACAACGCGCCCAGCAGCGGGGAACGAGACGGCAACGCCGGCAGCACCAAGCACACGAACAGAGAGCAGGTTGTGAACTGATGAAGGGAGAAATAGAACGTTGTCAAGCTGAATGGTGGTTTCCGATGTTGGTGACCGAAGAGTAGCCACCACCGTGCCGACTCCCAAGACCTTGTAAGTCTCTCCTCCACCAAAACGAACAAGGATCTCTTCGTTGGGATTCTTGAGAGACGAAAACAGCGAACGATCCGAGCAGATATGGGAGGATGCGCCGCTGTCCACCAGCCACGACGAAGTCCGCTCCATATTGAATGAGGAGGCCGTGAATGCCGATGCGTAGGGAGCCCCATAAGGGAAGAGGAGGAGGAGAAGGAGGATGGTGAGAATGAAGACAGCAGCGACGAGAGGAGTCCATGTGGAGAAGATGGGGTGGTGGCTGGTGCTGACAGCAATGTCCACGTACCGGGAATCAGGTACGGACTGAGGGGTTGATGGGGCAGGAGGTGGTGTGGGGGTCGGAGTAGCTTCAGCAGAGGAGCTGGTGGAGACATGCACCGAAGGTTGGAAGACGGATTTCTCCCGTTTAGAGCTTTCTTCAAGCTCTTTCTTCTTCTTCAATTTGAAGCATTCATCGATGGTGTGACCCGTTTTCTTGCAGTAACGGCAGGTGGGCGACTGGCGTGAACCGGAGCGAAGAGGGTGGGAGGGCTGGGAATTGAGGTTGTATGCACCCTCCATGTTACGGCTTGTACCAGATTGTGACCGCTCCCAATCGGCATCGAGTAGGCGTGACTGTAGGTATTCAACCGTCATAGACTTTATGTCTTTCACGGTGCAAATGGTTTCAGTAAGGGTCTTGAACGAGTCCGGAAGGTTGAGGATGATGGAGATTACCACCACCCATGATGGTAGCTCAAAGCCGGCAGATTTGAGTTGGTGTGTAAGGTTTCCAACTCGATCAAAGCAGGAGCGAAGACTTGTTGTTGGGTCCATCCGTGTAGTGATGAGATCCCGGAGGAGAGCCACTTGTGCATGGTTGCCCATGCAGTCGAACCACGCCATGATGCATCCCCACATATCCTTTGTCGTGTTGGCTTGAGCAAGAGTGAGCGATAGTTGAGGATGGACGGCTGACATGAGAAGATAGTATGCATGCTCCTCTTTTTCTTCATCCGGCAGCGAAGCAATCGAATGGGCTGTCTTAGGGGCTGCACCGCTGTTGCCTTCGGTAGTCTCTCCACCGCTGGTTGTGGAAGAGGAGATTGAAGGACACGAAGCAACCTTGGGATCTCCAAGGAGGGAGATTAGCCCGAGGACATTGAAGATGTAGCAGATCTTTTTCTTCCATGGAATGAAGTTGGAACCATCTGGTTCCAAGATGGGAAGGGTGTGCCGACCGAGAGGCGTTTCAACTTGAGCCATGAAGTGTGCAACGTTCACTAAGCTAGAAGCCTTGCTCTGATAGCATGTAGAATGAGGATCGGTGAACTTGAGGCACAATGAGAGAAGAACAATATATCCTTAGTAGGAAGATGGTACAAGCCTGAAAGGCTAGAGCAATGTCCTTTCCAAGGATGAGTTCTAGAGAAGTGGGAAGCCACATTTATGTGGCTGAACTCTTGAGGCTAGCTGCAGCACCTCAAAGCTGAGGGCAAGGCTAGCCAACCTTGCCAAGCTAGCAATTGAGGCCACATGTTGCACATGGGGGCCAGGCTGGAACAACAGCCTACATGGCAGCATGTGGCACACCATAGGAGCCAACAAGGTGAGTATGGGATGGGTGGACAGATGGCAATGCCAACTGTGACCACACTTCACTGTGGGTGAGTGTGGTGGAGTGTGGGAGTGTCATGTTCGGCATAATGAGAAGAGAAGGTGCTGCCGATGAGAGTTGAACCCGCGACCACTAAGACCAAAGGTACCCACTGGGACATTCTTGCTTCCACAACAATATGAACTAGACACCTGAAAACAGCCACAACAATATGGGCTATATTGTCACAAGCAGCAGCTTCAACCATGGTATCAAGTAGCAGGAGCTTCAACCATGGTATCAAACAGCAGCAGCTTCAATCATGGTATCAAGCAGCAGCAGCTTCAACCGTGAGATCAAGCAGCAGCAGATTTAACCATGATGTTTTAGAGTGTTGCTGCTGTTGCTTGATACCGAGGTTGAAGTTGCTGCTGCTTGATACCATGATTGAATCTGCCGCTGTTTGATACCATGGTTGTAGTTGCTGCTGCTTGATACAAACTGCTGCTGCTTGATACCATGGTTGAAGCCGCTGCTGCTTGATTCCATGGTTGAAGCTGCTGCTACTTGATACAATGGTTGAAGCTGCTGCTTGTGACAACATTAGTCCATATTGTTGTGGCTGTTTCAGGCTGTCTAGTTCATTTGATGCTAAGATCAGGAGTGAACTTAAGATGGTAGAATCTGAGTAAATTGTTTAAGTATGCAGGGTCTTGAGAAGGTATAATAGGTTTTTTAAGAGGTGGTCTTACCATGCATCGCAGTTGAGTCAGGAATGTGTACAAGTGGCAAGATCACTTCCACCCACTCGCAGTTGCCAAATGGCATCTCCTATGCCACGCGGCAGCCATTGTGATTCAGAAGCACGTGCTGCGCTTCCTGATGGAGAAGCGCTTCTGGGAGCTCAAGTGAACTTGCAGCTGTCACTCACTCTCTCACGCCGTGCTGTACTGCATGCTTCTTCTTTCACCCCACACCCTTCCCTCTCCCCTACTTGTTCCTCTTTACCCATGCCACCCGCCACTCGCAGCCTACCGAGCTAGGAAGCTATTGAGGGAGTTGAGGGAGGACGCAGCAGCCCTTGTCATTCAGAAGCACGTGCGGCGTTTCCTAATGGAGAAGCGCTTCTGGGAGCTCAAGTTTGCAGCGATCGTGATTCAGAAGAATGTGCGCATGCAGCAGGCGAGAAAACGATACATCCTGCTCAGGAGGACGCTAGCTACCATTGTCATTCAGGTGTGTGGAACGGTTGAAAGCGGTGCGGCTGTGCCAGTGTCTCGGGCCTGGTGCGACTAAGGACTTTTAGCAGCGATTGTCATTCAGAAGAACGTGCGCATGCAGCAAGCGAGGAAGCGGTACATCTTGCTCGGGGGGATGCTGGCCACCATCGTCATTCAGGTGTGTGGGACGGTTGAAAGTGGTGACAGTGTCTCGGGCCTGGTGTGACTAAGGGCTTTTAGCAGTGATTGTGATTCAAAAGAACGTGCGCATGCAGCAGGTGAGAAAACGGTGCATCCTGCTCAGGAGATCGCTGGCAACTGTCGTCATTCAGGTGTGTGGGACGGTTCAACGCGGTGACAGTGTTTTGGGACAGTTCAACGCGGTGACAGTGTTTTGGGCAGGGTGTGTCTAGGGGTTCTTAAACGCGACTTTCATGCAGCAGGAAAGGACGTGGTATACTCTCCCCCAACCCCAAACCGCCTTTCCTACCCAAACCCCTCCGCCACCTCCCATCTGCAGCGCTACTGGCTGGGGCACAGGGTGCGCAGGCCATGGGGCGCCATGAAGCGGTGCCTTCAGGTGAAGGTGAAGTGATTACCTCATCCCTTTCCCCCATTCCCCTCACTCCCCACAATCCCCTCCTGAACCTCTCACCTACAGCGCTACTGGCGGGGCCATAGGGTGCGCAAGCCGTGGGGTGCCATGCGGCGGTGCCTGCAAGTGAAGGTGGCTCGGATGAGATTGAAGAAGATGAAGGAGGTGAGCGGTGGAGGGAATGAGGGGAGGTTGCTAGTGTTAGAGCCTTGGTGGGATGGGAAAAGAGGTGGTGCCTGCAAGTGAAGATGGCGCGGATGAGACTGAAGAAGATGAAGGAGGTGAGCGGTGGAGGGAATGAGGGGAGGTTGCTAGTGTTAGAGCCTTGGTGAGATGGGAAATGAGGCGGTGCCTGCAGGTGAAGGTGGTTCGTATGAGACTGAAGACGATGAAAGAAGGAGGTGCATTTTGCAAGGAGTAAGATGCGATGAAACATTGCAATCTTACTCCATTTGGCACTGGTGTCTTCCCCTCCCCCGCCCCGCCTGCAGGCGGCACAGCGGGCAGCGCTGCTTGCTCTGTCCCTTCCTTTCCCCAACCCCTTTCCTCTCACTGCCTCCACTTTCATCCCTCCTGCTCCTCGTCCTCCTCCCTCTCCTTTTTTGTCCCTTCTGTTGTCCTAGCTCTTTTTTTGTCGCTCAAAAACCTCCGCGCTTTAGCAGGCTTGATGTGGTTTTTTGTCGCTCGAAAAACCTCCTCCTTCTCCTCCTCCTCATTTCTTGATCTTGTCTCCTCTCCTCTGCCACACCTGCAGGCGGCACAGCGGGCGGCACTGCTTGCCCCGGCGCGCACCAAGGTGGAAGCTTCAATGGACGAGCTGCGCATCGCTATGCTGCGCGGCCTCAAGGTGGGTTGATTAGCTAGCAGGTTTGAGGCTTAAGTCCAGAGTTTCATGAAGAGGTGACTGGGTGGGCCGTGTGTGTTGAGACTTGCTCCGCTATGCACCAACCAAGGTGGAAGCTTTCATGGACGAGCTGCGCATCGCCATGCTGCGTGGCCTCAAGGTGGGTTGATTGCTAGCAGTGTGGAGGATTAGGCAGGGGCGTCAGGACGTTATTGGGCCGTGTGTGCTGCGATTTGCTCTGCTGCGCTCCAACCAAGGTGGAGGCTTCCATGGACTGGACGAGCTGCGCATCGCTATGCTGTGTGGCCTCAAAGTGGGTAGGTTGGTTGCGAGCAGTGTAGAGAAGCAGGGTGTGTGTTGGGTGTGTTGAATTGAGGATTGAGGCAGCCATCAATAGCGAAGGAGTTGAAGATGTTAGAAGCTGTGTCTGAGTTGACTCAAAGGCGGAGTTGAAAAAGTTGATCGATGTGAGTAAAAAGTCATAGAGGTGGTTGGGTTTAAACCCCGTCTGAACCTAGGGTGTGTTAAGTCTAGGAGCAAACTCCAAAATGAATCTAAACCGAACCGGAAATGAAGCGAGGTCTTAAACTGGCCGGAAAATCATTTAGGGCCAGAATAAGATACAGAGCAAAGACTAGCCTACTCCAAGAGGGTGTGTGTTGGTGTGCTGCGCCGCACGCATCAATGTGCACTGCTCAGCTGGCTGAAATTCTAGGCTGGCAGGGCGCACCTGGCTAGGCATGCAGTCTTGCAATGTGTTTGCGTGTTGGGAGACGTGCTCTGCCAACGCACCAACCAAGGTAGAAGCTCCCTTGGCTGTGGTCTTGCTATGTGGACGAACTGCGCTTCACTATGCTGCGCTTCACTATGCTGCGCTTCACTATGCTGTGCTTCACTATGCTGCGCTTCACTATGCTGCGCTTCACTATGCTGCGCTTCACTATGCTACGCTTCACTATGCTGCGCTTCACCGTGCTGCGCTTCATTCTGCTGCGCTTCAATATTCTGCGCTTCACTACGCTGCGCTTCACTATGCTGCGCTTCACTATGCTGCGCTTCACTATGCTGCGCTTCACCGTGCTGCGCTTCATTCTGCTGCGCTTCAATATTCTGCGCTTCACTATTCTGCGCTTCACTATGCTGCGCTTCACTATGCTGCGCTTCACTATGCTGCGCTTCACTATGCTGCGCTTCCAATGCTGCGCTTCACTATGCTGCGCTTCACTATGCTGCGCTTCACTATGCTGCGCTTCACTATGCTGCGCTTCACTGTGCTGCGCTTCATTATGCTGCGCTTCATTATGCTGCGCTTCACTATTCTGCGCTTCAATATTGTGCGCTTCACTATGCTGCGCTTCACTATGCTGCGCTTCACTATGCTGCACCGCATCAAGGTGCGTCTCCCGGGGGGTCTGCACTGCCCTTCCCTTTCCTTCCCCCCTTCCTCCCCACCCTACCTCCCCAGCAACACGAGGAGAAGAAGCGGCAAGAGGCAGAGGAGTCAGTCAAGTGCCTCATCCATGAGATGGCAGCTCTCAACCAGGAAATCTCCTACCCCCTCCCATCCTGACACTTCCCCTCATGCCTCTCCCTTCCCCTTTCTCCTCTCCCCTCCCCAGCAACGCAAGGAGAAGAAGCGGCACGAGGCAGAGGAGTCAGTCCAGCGCCTCATCTCGTGCTCTCTCCCTTTCCCCCCTCCTCCCTCCCACTCAGCAACGCGAGGAGAAGAAGCGGCATGAGGCAGAGGAGTCAGTCAAGCGCCTCACCCATGAGATGGCAACCTTAAACCACGAGATCTCTCAGCTAAAAGCCGCTCTTAACAAAGAGAAGCACCGGGCAGAGAAAGCCGAGGAGCTCCTGAAACTCGTCCCCCGCAGCGTTTTACAGCAGACTGTCGCCCACCAGGGCTTCCCCCGTGTACTTTCCCGAACGGGAAGTGTTTCCTCTTATAGCAACTACCTCCGATCCAGGGGTCCCACTGCCCCGTCCAGCCCCAAGGTTGAAGGAGGGGGGTGGGGAGCAGGCGGCGGAGGGGCAGAAGGGGAAAGAGGAGGAGGCGGGGGAGTGGGAGCAGAGGCTACTGGGAGCGTTTTGTCTGCAGCAGCAGCGGCGCTTGGCGGCGGGCATAGCAGTAGCGCGGGGGGTCCAACAGAGCATCCCACAGAGCATCCTGAGTTGAGAATCCCGGCTGCTCGAAGCAAAGGCGGAGGGGGATCAGGATCAGTGCCTGCTGCCCGGTCTCTCCGACCCAGCCCGAGCACCAAAATCTCGCCTTCTTTCTCCTCCGCATCCTCCTCCCTGTCGGGAAGTCCATCGGTGTTAGTGCCTTCTGCTCGATCTCTCCGACCCAGCCCGAGCGCCAGAATCCCACCTTCTTTCCCCCCTTCCTCCGTGTCGGGAAGTCAAGCGGTTGGGCACGGTTCAGTGGTTAAGCCGCCGCCGTCTCGAGGGCCTAGCGTGGGCGGCAGCAGTGGTGGTGGTGGTGGTCCTGGCTGTAGCGGCGATGGGATGCACAGCCCGCTACAGCCGGGCCCAGAGCTGCTTGTTGCTGCTGGGGAGCAGACTGGGAGCCTAAGTGCAGGTGGTGATGACTCTGGTGATGATGGTGCTGCAGTTGCCACTGTAGCCGCTGCTGATGTGGCCGGTGCTGATTTGGCGAGTGCTGATGTGGCTGGTGCTGTTGAAACCGGGCTGGGAGCAGACCTGGACGGAGTGCGGCACTCGTGGAAAGTCCTCGCGACCCTCTCTGATGATGACGTGGCAGCTCCTCCTGCTGCTGCTGCGTGGCAGCAGGCTTCCCAAGGCAGTCGAAGCACCTCCCACATGGTCCGCGGCACCACCCGCAGCAACAGCCTGCAGAAAGCATTAGCAGGGACAGGAAGCATGTCAATGAAAGAAGGCAGGTTGGGGGCTGCTGGGGGGATCGGCAGCAGCAGCAGCAGGAACCTTGGGGGGAACAGCAGCAAGGGTTTCTCAGGGAGCGGCAGTGGCAGTGGGAGCGGAAGCAGGAGCGGGAGGGGGATTGCAGGCAGCAGGTCAATGCGATGGGGCGCACATGCGTCTCGGTTGAGCCATATGTCCACTGCAGGAGAGGTGGGAGAGGTCTCTGCTGCCATGGGGATCTTCATGGTTGCTACAACTCGGGAGGAAGGCTTGGGAGGTTTGAAAGAGGATGGAGCAGAGGGAGGAGGAGGAGGAGGAGCAGGAGAAGCGGCAGCAGGAGGAGCGGAAGCAGGTGGGAAAAGCAGCAGCCCTTGGTCTCGCGTGCGTGCTCTGGCCCCCAAGATCCTGCAAGTCGCGTCTGAAACAGGCGCAGGCGGAGCAGGAGGAGGAGGAGCAGTAAGAGGAGCAGGAGGGATGGGCATGGGCATGGGAGGGGGTTCATCCTCGTCATGGAGTGGCATGTTTGCAGCTATGGCGCGCAGTGTGGTGCAGTTAGAGGAGCTTAGAGAAGAGGTGGTGGCGATGAGAGGCACTTTGGGGGAGACGGAGAGGAGGCTGCAGGAGGCGGAGGAGAGGGCGGAGAGGGCGGAAGGGGAGGTGCGGGAGAAGGGAGAGGAGGTGGAGGAGTTGAGAGGGCAGGTGGGCATTCTTATGGAGCGACTCAAGAGGTGAGGAAAGGGGTGAGGGGGGGGGGAGCGGGAGGGGGAAGAGGAGGGACGGGATAGGAGGGAGAGGGAGGGGGGATGGGTGACGGTTCCGTTGGGGACTTGGCTTTTGAGAATTCTCAAAAGTCACTCGAATATGAGGGGATGGGTGACAGTTTGGTTGGGGACTAGGGTTGAGGGAGAGGAAAAGTGAGGGAGAGGAGCGAGGAGGTGGAGGAGTTGAGGGGGCGAGTGCGCGTTCTTGGGGAGCGACTCACGCGGTGAGCACCTGGGGGAGGGAAGAAGGGGAGAGGGGGGTAGATAGAGAAGGGTTGGGATGGGTGGAGATGGTTGGACGATTTGTGCCTTGACTCGACTCAAAACACGATTTGTGTCGTTTGATCTTGCTGTCTCAACCATGTAACCATGTGTGGTTATGAACCCACACACTCGCTGTCTAAACTCCTTGGCTTCATGTTTCCCTTCTCCCCTCCTCTCCATTTGTTGACTCTTGTACGCTCCTGACTTGAGTGCTTTTGACTCTTGAGCCAGACATGTTTTTTCACTCTTGGTGCTTTTGACTCAAGCTCACCTCCCTTTTCCCAGAAAAAACAGCAACATGGGCCAACGGTCATGGGACCTCTCTCAGCTTCCATTCCAAGCGTCTCTCCTCTCCCTCCCTCCCCTCCCTTTCCCTCAATTCCCCCATCCACCCCACCAGCAAGAACAGCAACAAGGGCCAACGGTCATGGGACCTCTCTCAGCTTCCATTCCAAGCGTCTCTCCTCTCCACTCCCCACTTCCTGTTTCGCCCGTTTCAGCAAGGACAATGACATGTGCCAATGTCAGAGAGACTCCCTCTCGCAGCACTTTTGAGTCGACCCAAAAGACTCCCTCTCGCAGCACCGCTTTCACTCGAACCTCGTCAGCTCGCTTCACCTCCCTGCCCTGGCTGTCCTCCCCTCCCTGCCTTCCCCACTTCCCACGCACCCATTCATCCCACCAGCAAGGACAACGAATGACGTGCGCCAGCTGTCAGAAACCCTCTTCACAACTCTCTTTCAAATGCCTCTCCACCACACCTCCCTCCCCTCTCCCCACCCCCCACCCTCTCTTCCCCTCCCTGCCCTCTCCCTGTCCTTCCCTTTCCCCCACCCGCCCCTTCCCCCCTTCCAGCAAGGACAACGACGTGCGCCAGCTGTCAGAAACCCTCTCGCAGCACCGTGCCCAATCGGCCGCTGCTGCCACTGCTGCTGCACATTCTGCCGCACATTCTGGTGTGCAGTCAACAGGGGGACCAGCACCAGCAGCAGCGCCGGCAGCAGGAGGAGCAGGGTTCAATCCCGCTCTGGCCCGATTGGCAGCGGCCAGTCTCGGTCCTTCAAAACCCGTTGCCCCTCCTGGTGGTAAGGCGGCCCCCAGTGGCGGTGTTTCCCCCCGCCCCATTCCCCCCATCTCCACCCACTCCTCCTACCCCCAGCCCCCCGCCTCGCCAACTCACCCCCAGCAACAAGCGGCAACAGCAGCAGGAGCAGGAGCAGCAGCAGCAGCAGGGGGAGCAGGAGCAGGGGGGGCAGGAGCAGGGGGAGCAGGAGCAGGGGGAGCAGGAGCAGGGGGAGCAGGAGCACAATCAGGGTCGGAATCGAGAGCAGCAGAGTCAGGAGCAACAAGTTCGGGAGCAACAAGTTCGGGAGCAAGAGCGGGAGAGACAGGAGAAGCAGGGTCAAAGGATTCAGGAGGAGCAGGGGATTCGGCGTCAGCACTTGCGGTGTGGAGTGTGGCTCGAGTGGCCAGTGGGGAGGCGAGTGGGGAGATGATGGGAAACGCATCAAAATCGCTGGCTGCAATTGAGTATGATGACGCTTCCATTGCTCGCATCCAGGAAAACCCCCCGGTGAGTGCTTGCTTGCTGCTGTCCATCTCATGGCTGTTTCTCTCATGTGTGGGTTTCTCTACCCAAGGGGCATCCAGCTCGCTGGCTGCTATAGAGTACGACAGTGCTGCCGTTGCTCGCATCCAGGAAAACCCCCCGGTGGGTGCTTGCGTGCTGCTTGAGTGTTTGCGTGCTGCTCTCTCTCTCTCTCCCATGCATGTTTCTCTTGTGTGTGGGTGTGTCAAGACATGCACGTTTCTCTCTTATGCAGGTGCTCAGTTTTACGATGCTGCTGCCATTGCTCTGAATGGGCTGCTTTGGCTCTGGCAAGAAGTTACTCAGGCCCTCTCTCCCTCCCTCCCCCCTCCCTCTCTTCCTCCCTTCTTCCCCTCCTCCCTCCCCCCACCTCCCCCAGGAGTCCGTTCTCATATTCCTCACCACGCACATTCTCTTGGCCTCTCCCCCCAAGGCCTCCCTCTGGCAGCCCCAGCCACCTATCACTCTCTTTGAGACATCTCAAACTCAACTATCCCCTACCCCTCTCCTTCCCTCCCCCACTTCCCACAGGAGTCCGTTCTCATATTCCTCACTACGCACATCATCGGCCTCTCCCCCCAAGGCCTCCCTCTGGCCGCCCCAGCCATCTACCGCTCCCTCCTCCACTTTGGTGCCTTCCCCCCCGCCTCCTCCCCCTCCGCCCCCGCCCTCCTCTCCTCCACCATTCGCCACCTGCAAGCCGCCATCCTTCCCGAAGAGGAAACCCTTGCCATTTTGGGAGAAGGGGTGGGGCCGGGTGGGGTGCCGGCTGTGAGGGTGAACGAGCAGTGCTACTGGTTGTCGAATGTCTCGTGCCTGATGTTGCTGGTCGAAGTGGTGTATAAACCTGCTGCTGCTGCTGCTGCTACTGCTGCGGACAAGCCTAAGGCTGCTGCTGGGTCTAACTGGTTCACAAACATGTTTCAGGTGCGCTTAGAATGTTTCAGGTGTGGAACGGTGAAAGAGCAGTGCTACTGGCAGTCGAATGTGGCATGTCTGATGCTGCTGGTTGAGGTGGTATATGAACCTGCCGCTGCTGCAGCTGCAGAAAAGCCCAAGCCTGCTGCTGGGTCCAACTGGTTCACGAACCTGCCCACTTCACTTCCCCTCTTTCTTCCTCTCAGGCCCCGTCATTCAGCGATGCAACTCGTCAGCATCATCAGCAGCAGCAGCCAGCGCTGGGCTCAGTTGAATTCTTGGAGTTCAAGCAGAAGCTCGCAGATCTGCTGGATGATGCCTTTCTGGAGCTCCGTGCTTCCGTCAACCTTGAACTGCAGACTCTTGTCTCGCTCCTAGCGCAGGTAAGGAGCTCTAATCCTCTTGTTCCCTTCCCCACCTGTCCTGTTTCCCCCTCCTTTCCCCTCCCAGGCCCCGTCATTCAGCGATGCAACTCGTCAGCACCAGCAGCACCAACAGCAGCAGCAGCCAGCACTGGGCTCGGTGGAGTTCCTCGTGTTCAAGCAGGAGCTCGCAGTGCTGCTGGACGATGCGTTTCTGGAGCTCCGTGCATCTGTCAACCTTGAATTGCAGACTCTGGTCTCCCTCTTGGCACAGGTATTGTGTGATGTTTGTACAGTTTGTCTTGTACAACTAGCACCTTATGAGGGGAGTCACTCTACACTGGGAGATGAACTACAGAGGAAGACACGGGTGGTAGAGTGATCGTAGCGTTCTTTGTGTTCTCTAGCACTTATGTATTCACATTGAAAGTTGGCAAGAGCTTCACTAGCAAAGGTTGAGAACAATGATATAAAGATGGTAGACAGGAATGACTTCCTCAGAGCCTAGCAACCTAGCAAACCAGCAGGTGGACCGACAGCGTAGCAAGTCGACGGCGCGCCAACGCAGCTTGATGGCGGCTTGCCAACGCTGCAGCAAGGCGACTTGCCAGCGTTACGACCGCGTGTGACCAGAGCGCATGTGCGCACCCACTTCGCAAGTGCGTATAGCCGGTTGAGCACATTGTGCACCGCTCCGGACATTGCGCAGGTGCCAAGTCGACCGCATGCCGACGGTTGCGCCTGTTGAGCCACGTCAACTTCGGGATACCAGCCCGACATTCGCGCACCTCCGCAGGACTTCGTCGTCCGAGTTACTCGGTCGACCGGAAAACTCCTTGGTCGGTGTCGACCTGACCGTCGGTGGACGCCCGCTGGTCGACGAGCTCCCTCGTCGACCACCCTGGTTGGAGCCACCAGCCGACTTCCCCAAGTCGGCGTCCCCCAGGTCGACAAACCCTTTCGTCGATTACACTAGTAGAAATCGGCCACCGTTTCCCTCACCGCCGGCATGCGGTGGTCCCGCGCAGGTCGACCAACTTCGTCGACCTGCTCGCCTAGGTCGGCGTCGCCCGACGCCCATTGCAGAAGGTGAATTGCACTTCCCTCGCACCCGACCACGAAGTCGGCTTCGCCCAAGTGAGAGCGGGGCCAACTCCCGTCAACACCTTATCTCCTCATGCTCAAGCAGGAGCTTTGTGGGCGCCTTTCTAGAGCTCCAGGCGTCTTTCAACCTCAAATCGCAGATCCCCATGTCTCTTATCGCTCAGGTAGTCGTGGTTGGTGCATGTAATCATCTCCTCCCCATCCATCCCCTCCCCATCACCCCTTTCCTATCCAACTTGTTCCCATCCGCTCCCTCTCCCCTTCAGAGCCCCACCGCAAACGCACAGCACATGCGCGAGTTCTGGGCGGCAGCGCTTGTCTCGTTGCGGAGCGCGGTGGGGTGCATGCAAGCCAACCGCGTGCCGACCGTGCTGGCCCGCCACCTCCTCTGGCAGGTGCTGCACTTCCTGGACGTGCGCCTCTTCAACGGGTGAGTCACTCCTCTCCATCTGATGGCCTTTTCTGCTAAAGAGGTAAGCAGTACTGCTCCCATCCCTCCGCGTGCCGACCGCGTTGGCCCGCCACCTCCTCTGGCAGGTGCTGCACTTCCTCGACGTGCGCCTCTTCAACGGGTGAGTGATTGGACACTCAACACGCTTGCTCAATGGGTGAGCATGCTGCTGCTCCTCCTTGCCGTTGCTCCTCCTTGCCGTGTTGAGCCGCCACCTCCTCTGGCAGGTGCTGCACTTCCTGGACGTTCGCCTCTTCAACGGGTGAGTCATTCAACAGGTAAGCTTTGGCTCACATGGCCATGCAAAAGGTTAAGCCTTGGCACCCAAACAGTGCGCACTTGGCCCGCCACCTGCTGTGGCAGGTGCTGCACTTCCTGGACGTGCGCCTCTTCAACGGGTGAGCTTTTCTTAGGGGCCAACCAAAGGCCTGCCCCTTCTGTTTGACACGGCACCTATAGGGTGCGCACCTGGCCCGCCATGTACTCCGGCAGGTGCTGCACTTCCTGCACGTGCGCCTCTTCAACGGGTGAGTCGTTTGGTAGCCGCTGCATTATCTAGCGATATTGCATTTGTATCGTTTTTTTCCTTCCTTCTCAAAGTCACGGAAGGATTTTCAAAGAACTCCAATCTAATGAGCTCCTGAAACTACCTGAAGTACACGGGGAGGCCCGAAGCATGAGGCGGCGTTGAGTTAGAGGGTATGGGGTGGGTTGGGTAGGTGTCGTGAGGAATTAGCTGCCAAGTGTTTCGGGCTGAACCGTGTGCTGAAGGACTTTCGCGGCAACATATTACTGCGCCGTTCCGCAATACGTTATGCAAGATCATCTCTACAAGTGCAGAAAGAGCTTCAAGCGGAAAGAACTTCTAACGGAAAAAGCTTCAAGCGGAAAAATCTTCAAGTGGAAAGAGCTTTAAGCGGAAAGAGCTTCAAGCGGAAATAGCTTCAAGCGGAAATAGCTTCAAGCGCAAAGAGCTTCAGGCTGATGGTGCGACATCCCGTCACCGCTGGTCGTGCGACATCCCCGTCACCGCTTGTCGTGCAACATCTCGTCATTGCTGGTTGTGCAACATCCCCGTCACCGCTAGTGGTGCGACATCCTGTAACCGCTGCCATTCAAGTGGTGATGGGGATGTCGCACGACCAGCAATGACGAGATGTCGCACGACAAGCGGTGACGGGGATGTCACGACCAGCGGTGACGGGATGTCGCACCATCAGCCTGAAGCTCTTTCCGCTTGAAGCTCTTTCCGCTTGAAGCTATTTCCGCTTGAAGCTATTTCCGCTTGAAGATCTTTCCGCTTGAAGATCTTTCCGCTTGAAGATTTTTCGCTTGAAGCTCTCTCCGCTTGAAGTTCTTTCTGCTTGAAGCTCTTTCTGCGCTTGTAGAGATGATCTTGCAGACCGTATTGTGGAACGTCGCGGTAATATGTTGCCGCGAAAATCCGTCAGCACACGGTTCAGCCCGAAACACTTGGCAGCTCACTCCTCACGACACCTACCCAACCCACCCCATACCCTCTAACTCAACGCCGCCTCATGCTTTGGGCCTCCCCGTGTACTTCAGGTAGTTTCAGGAGCTGATTAGATTGGAGCTCTTTGAAAATCCTTCCGTGATTTTGAGAAGGAAGGAAAAAAACGATACAAATGCAATATCGCTAGATTATATGGTGCTCTGGCAGGTGCTGCACTTCCTGCACCGTGCTGGCCCGCCACCTGCTGTGGCAGGTGCTGCACTTCCTGGACGTGCGGCTCTCCAACGGGTGAGGCGTTTAGTAGCCTCTGCAGTTCATCGGGTATGCATGCCGAGCCGACCCATTCCCCCCGCGTGTCAAAGCACACCCGGGGTGAGTCGTTGGGTAACCCTTGGGGTTCATCAGGTAACCGTGTTGCTCTCAACCCTCCGCATGCCGGCGGTGCTGGCGGTGCCGGCGGTGCTGGCGGTGCTGGCGGTGCCGGCGGTGCTGGCCTGCTGGCCTGCTGGCCTGTCGCCTGCTCTACCTCTGAGAGTTCCTCCCGTCCGCCCCTCCTTCCTTCATGCCTCCTCCCCTCCCACCAACATCCTCATGCTGCGAAGTCACTGGTGTCCCATCACGCTCGCCAATGGTGAAGCCACGGAGCAAGGGCTGCTGGCACTGGAAGCCACGGAGCAAGGGCTGCTGGCACTGGAAGCATGGCTGGCAGAGCACGTGCACCCGTGGCTGGATGGAGCAGCAGCGGGCACACCACGTGCACCCGTGGCTGGATGGAGCAGCAGCGGGCACACCACGTGCACCTGTGCTTCACTGCCTGCCTCCCCTCCTCACCTACTTCTCTCCTTCCTTCATGCTTGCCCCCTCACCCCAACAGCCTCATGCTGCGAAGCCACTGGTGTCCCATCACACTCGCCAACGGGGAGGCCATGGAGCAAGGGCTGCTGGCGCTGGAAGCATGGCTGTCAGAGCACGTGCACCCGTGGCTGGATGGAGCAGCAGCGGGCATGGGCATGAGCAGGAGCGTGGGGAGCCTCGGAGCAGGCACTGCTGCTGGAAGCGTGGGGGGAGGGTCACGGGCGATGCTGATTGACGCTCTTCAACACACGTACCAGGCAGTGGTATTGCTGGTGAGTGGTGGGGGCACTGGATGGAGCAGCAGCGGGCATGGGCATGAGCAGGAGCGTGGGGAGCCTCGGAGCAGGCACTGCTGCTGGAAGCGTGGGGGGAGGGTCACGGGCGATGCTGATTGACGCTCTTCAACACACGTACCAGGCAGTGGTATTGCTGGTGAGTGGTGGGGGCACTGGATGGAGCAGCAGCGGGCATGGGCATGAGCAGGAGCGTGGGGAGCCTCGGAGCAGGCACTGCTGCTGGAAGCGTGGGGGGAGGGTCACGGGCGATGCTGATTGACGCTCTTCAACACACGTACCAGGCAGTGGTATTGCTGGTGAGTGGTGGGGGCACTGGATGGAGCAGCAGCGGGCATGGGCATGAGCAGGAGCGTGGGGAGCCTCGGAGCAGGCACTGCTGCTGGAAGCGTGGGGGGAGGGTCACGGGCGATGCTGATTGACGCTCTTCAACACACGTACCAGGCAGTGGTATTGCTGGTGAGTGGTGGGGGCACTGGATGGAGCAGCAGCGGGCATGGGCATGAGCAGGAGCGTGGGGAGCCTCGGAGCAGGCACTGCTGCTGGAAGCGTGGGGGGAGGGTCACGGGCGATGCTGATTGACGCTCTTCAACACACGTACCAGGCAGTGGTATTGCTGGTGAGTGGTGGGGGCACTGGATGGAGCAGCAGCGGGCATGGGCATGAGCAGGAGCGTGGGGAGCCTCGGAGCAGGCACTGCTGCTGGAAGCGTGGGGGGAGGGTCACGGGCGATGCTGATTGACGCTCTTCAACACACGTACCAGGCAGTGGTATTGCTGGTGAGTGGTGGGGGCACTGGATGGAGCAGCAGCGGGCATGGGCATGAGCAGGAGCGTGGGGAGCCTCGGAGCAGGCACTGCTGCTGGAAGCGTGGGGGGAGGGTCACGGGCGATGCTGATTGACGCTCTTCAACACACGTACCAGGCAGTGGTATTGCTGGTGAGTGGTGGGGGCACTGGATGGAGCAGCAGCGGGCATGGGCATGAGCAGGAGCGTGGGGAGCCTCGGAGCAGGCACTGCTGCTGGAAGCGTGGGGGGAGGGTCACGGGCGATGCTGATTGACGCTCTTCAACACACGTACCAGGCAGTGGTATTGCTGGTGAGTGGTGGGGGCACTGGATGGAGCAGCAGCGGGCATGGGCATGAGCAGGAGCGTGGGGAGCCTCGGAGCAGGCACTGCTGCTGGAAGCGTGGGGGGAGGGTCACGGGCGATGCTGATTGACGCTCTTCAACACACGTACCAGGCAGTGGTATTGCTGGTGAGTGGTGGGGGCACTGGATGGAGCAGCAGCGGGCATGGGCATGAGCAGGAGCGTGGGGAGCCTCGGAGCAGGCACTGCTGCTGTAAGCGTGGGGGGAGGGTCACGGGCGATGCTGATAGACGCCCTACAGCATACATACCAGGAAGTGGTGCTGCTGGTGAGTTGCAGGGCACATGTGCTGCTGCTGGTGAGTAAGGGCACCTTTCTGTCATGATATATCAATGCGGGCGTGGCTGATAGACGCCCTACAGCATACATACCAGGCAGTGGTGCTGCTGGTGAGTTGCTAGGATCAGTGTTCCCCTCGCTCAACTCCACCATCCTCAGGTCGTCCCTCCCTACCTTTCTTCTCCCTTTCCCTTGCCCCCATACTGCCAAACAACAAGCGCAGTGGAGCATGGAGGAGGTGGGATCGATGTGCCCCTCGCCCAACTTCACGCGGCTCACCATCTGCTTTTGAGTCGACTCAAAAGTCACTTCACGCGGCTCACCATCTGCTTTTGAGTCGACTCAAAAGTCACTTCACGCGGCTCACCATCTGCTTTTGAGTCGACTCAAAAGTCACTTCACGCGGCTCACCATCTGCTTTTGAGTCGACTCAAAAGTCACTTCACTCAGCTCACCATCCTGTGCTCGTGGTCCCTCCTTTCCCACTCTCTTCCCCTCTTCCACTCTCCCTCTTCCTCCCTCCCCTCCCTCCCTATAGACAGCCAAACAAAGAGCACGTAGGACCATGGAGGAGGTGGTCTCCATGCGATGGTGGTGTCGATGTGCCCCGCGCTCAACTTCACCCAGCTCTCCATCCTCTGCTCGTGGTCTTCCCCCTTTCACCCGTCCCGCTTTCGCCCGTCCCTCCACTCCACCTATTCCTCCCACACTCCCCCCGCACAGACCTCCAAGCAGAAGGCACGGAAGACCATGGAGGAGGTGGTGTCGATGTGCCCCTCGCTCAACTTCACTCAGCTCACCATCCTGTGCTCGTGGTTTGAGGACGAGGTGTACGGATCCCGGGGGTTCGACAGGGCCGTGCTGCAGCAGCTGAGAGGTGCAGGGGAGGACTACGAATCTGAACTGCTTGAGGCGTTTGAAGGGTGAGCTTATAACGAGGATAACAGTGGTTCTTGAAGGTTGAGCGTGGTGTGAATGGTATGGCAAGGATATCAGTGTCTTCTATCCCTCGTGCCCTCAGTCACGCATCCGCATGCACCCCGCCAATGTCTGTTACACCCCTCTTCACCCCTCTTTGCCCATCGTCACCCCTCCACACTCCCATCCCGGCCATTCACCCCCACAGCTGTGGTGGCAGCAGTGCCGCCCATCAACTCATTCCCCGTCCACTATGTCCCTTTCACGCCCATCCACACCCCGCCAATGCCTGTCACACCCCTCTTCACCACTGTTCACCCCTCTTCATCCCTCCTCACCCCCTCCCCACCCCCAGCCTACCATTCACCCCCACGGCTGTGGTAGCAGCAGTGCCGCCAATCAACCCGTTCCTCGTGCCACCGCCGCAGTTCCTCCCTCCCGCCCCTGCATTCGACTTCCTTCGCCAACAGCAGCCGCAGTAATGGTAGCTGTAGCAGGAACAGCTTCAGCAGGAACAGCTTCAGCTGAGAAGCTGTATCTGAGTCATTCTTGATGATTCTCACAAGTACAGCAGCACCATTAGCGTGCAGGCACCATCAGCCACAATTCCTCCCACCTGCCCCTGCATTCGACTTCCTGCATCAACAGCAGCAGCAAAAGAGCAGTTCCTCGCACCCATGCATTTGACTTGTACCAAACTCATTATAACTTACACGGTTTCCATGCGCTTGCCTGCCACCATAACTTCTATAACCTCCCATAATGCTGCACAATTTCTAGCAAAGGTTTAAATGCTTATTCAATACATACTAGCCGTTGCGTGCTAATACTGCCAGCTTCCCTTTGACAGAATGGCTTGATTGTGAACACACTGCGGCTGCGAATGCCTTACACACAAGCAACTTTACAGGTCTACAAACTGGGCTGAGTTGCTAACCTGGTCCACACATTATACTTTTTAAGAATTCCATGTTACCTGGTCTCACGGTACATGCGAGGAGTCGGTATGTCAAGGGCTTCGGGGTCTCCTTCAGGGGTTAGCAACACGGCACCGAGACAGGGAGAAGCGGCTGCCAAGAACCCCAACTCAAACCGTCTGTCCTCTAGGGCGTCACAACCAAGGACTGACTCACCCCCGACGAAAAGAGGACAGGTAGGAGGAGCAGCCATCACAGGGGTGGTAGTCAAGGTGGCAAGTGGCAACAAAGTCAGCGACAGCGGCAGAAGAGCTGAGACAGATGGCGGAGAGACACGAGGGTCCGTAACAAGAGAGGCGAGAAGACGTGAGGGAACAAGACGAGACGTGGTGTTGGTTGTAACACTGCTTGGAGTGTGCATAAACAATGTGTGGTGTTCATAAGCAGTGCATCCACCATAGGGTTACCATAAGAACCGTTGCAAGCCCTCGTGCCCCTCCCACTTGAACGGGCGGAACAAAAAGAGTGCCATCGTGGCAATATCTACAGCAGCAAAGGCAGTGACAACCAGAGCACATGCAACCCTCTTTTCCAGGCGGTTGCGAGGCAGGGGGAGGTGTAACAGCAGGAGCAGGAAGGGAGGGATGAAGTAGCGGAATTCGAGGAGCGGGGATGGGACGAGAACTGCTGCTGTTGCAGCTGAGAAAAAGAAGAGGCCGAGAGGGGTCATGGCACGGCCTGGGGAAAGGGGTATGGGGAGGAAGGGAAAACGGAAGAGAGGGACGTAGACATGGGGGGGAAGAGGAGAGTTAAATGGGGGAGAGGTGTTCAAGTGGTTGTTAAAATATTATATAGATAGGGCGCTGTAGAGGACGAGCAGGGAAAGGGCGTAGAGTGGCAGCAGCAGGGAAGGGATGTGGTGCATGGCTCAGATTGCACGGGATGTGGTGCATGGCTCAGATCGCACGTGATGTGGTGCATGGCTCAGATCGCACGTGATGTGGTGCATGGCTCAGATCGCACGTGATGTGGTGCATGGCTCAGATCGCACGTGATGTGGTGCATGGCTCAGATCACACGTGATGTGGTGCATGGCTCAGATCGCACGTGGTTCATAGGAGGATTCAGCAGCAGCAGCAGCAGCAGCAGCAGCAGCAGGAAGTGCTAAATTAGAGAGCGGAATTGCAAGCAGTTAGGAGCTGCGCATGAGCTGTGAGTTGCCACGTGATAAAAGAAGTGTTTTGAGAGACATCTCAGAGAGCATATTTTCTCGATTGCAATGCAAGCAGCAAAGAGCTGCACGTAAGCTGTGAGTTGCCACATACGCAGAGCATGGGTGAGGGCGAGGAGGGAGAGGGCATAGACTGGCAGCAGCAGGAAGCGCTGTGACGGGCTGTGGGGCGGATTGATGAGTCGGCGCCAGATGTAGAAGGGGTAGTGGCGGTTGTCTGCTAGCAGATAGGGGTGGGAGAGGCTGGGATAGAGAGGGATGGTGTTTAGGGAGGAAGAGGGAGGATGAGAAGGGAGCATGGGAAGGATTGATGAGCCGGCGCCAGATGTAGAAGGGGTAGTGGCGGTTGTCTGCTAGTAAGGAGGGGTGGGAGAGGCTGGGAGGAGGGGCAGTGGGAGAAGAGAGAGCTGAATGGAAAGGGTGGATGAGACAACAATAGATGTAGAAGGGGTCATGACGGTTGTCCGCTAGTAAGTAGGGGTGGGCGAGGCTGGGAGGAGGGGCAGTGGGAGAAAGGGCAAGAGAGAGCGGAATGGAAAGGGTGGATCCGAGCCAACAATAGATGTAGAACGGGCCGTGATGGTTGTCCGCTAGCGATAGGGGTGGGCGAGACTGGGAATGAGAGGGGGTGGGGCAGTAGGTGCAAATGGAACGAAGTGGCACGGGAAGCAAGTGAGAAGAATGGGCGGGATGATGAGTCTGCGCCAGATGTGGAAAGGGTAGTGACGATTGTCCGCTAGCAGATAAGAACGATACAGCGATAACCCATTGCGAGGGAGGTGGATAGAACCCCTTTTTAGGCGGGACGATGAGTCCGCGCCAGATGTGGAAGGGGTAGTGACGTTTGTCCGCTAGCAGATAGGGGATGGTGGGAGAGAGCGAGAGGTGGTTGAGAGGAGGAGGGGGAAGGGGAGGGAGGGGGCGAGGACGGGAAAAACGATACAGCGATAACCCATTGTGAGGGAGGTGGATAGCAATGGGGCGCCTAAGAAGTCGCATTGCTTGGATAGACCGCCTTCTTAGGCGCCTCAAACAATGCGATCCCTGACGTTTTCGATGGTGAGAAAGAGCAGCGCGGAGACGAGGAGAAAGAGGCTGAGGCAGAGGGTGGGGGATGATCGGAGAGAGCGAGAGGAGGAGGAGAGGAGGGAGGGGGAGGAAGGAGGAAGAGCGAGAGGAGGAGGAGAGGAGGGAGGGGGAGGAAGGAGGAAGAGCGAGAGGAGGAGGAGAGGAGGGAGGGGGAGGAAGGAGGAAGAGCGAGAGGAGGAGGAGAGGAGGGAGGGGGAGGAAGGAGGAAGAGCGAGGACGGAGAAAGGAAAGAGGGACATGATACCTGAAGTGTTTGATGGTTGGGAAGAGCAGGGCGGAGACGAGGAGAGAGAGAACGAGGGTGGAAAAGAGAGAAGGGGGACGACGGTCAGAAAGGAAGCGAAGGGAAGGAGAGGAGGTAGACATGGATGGGGCGACAATGATACCTGAAGTGTTTTATGGTGAGAAAGAGCAGGGCGGAGACGAGGAGAGAGAGGACGAGGCAGCGACCGGGGGCCGATCGGAGAGAGCAAGAGGTGGTGGAGAGGAGGGGGAGGAGGGAGGAAGGGGCGAGGAGGAGGGGCGAGAGGGAGAGTGCGGAGAAGGCTGCGAAGTAGAGTGGCTGCGTGAGATGGGGGGAGAGACGGTGCTCTGTGCGCGCTCCTGGATGGGGTGGGGTGGGGTTGGGTGGGGAGAAGTGGAGTTTGGTGGAGTGGGGTGCAGTGAGGAGGGGTGAAAGGAGGCGCAAATGTCGTCATGAAACAAGGAAGGATGCGAAGGAGAGTGGCTGAATGAGATGGGGGGAGAGCCGGTGCTCTGTGCGGGCACCTGGGTTGGTGAGGTGGGGAGCTGTGGGGTGCCAGGGATGGGGTGGGGTGGGGAGGAGAGCAAGAGGGAGGGAAGTACATGCTGCTGTGGAAGGCCGTGGAGCAGGGAAGGCTGTGGAGCAGGGAAGGCCGTGGAGCAGAGCGGCTGCATGAAATGGCTGAAGTCTCAATAGTGATGTGCAGCAGAGCGGCTGGCTGGCTGACTCCAACTCAAGAATCCTCAACATTTCTCAACTCAGAGTTAGAGGCATGGAAGGGTGATGTGCAGAAGAACAGCAATGGTGCAAATTGAATTGATTCAAAACACACTCATTCACAGGTACACTCAGACATAAACACAACGCCTCAACGCCTCAGGATGGGTCATCCACTCACCGACGACGATTCCCCCGTTGACACGCACAACGACAAAGAATGCCGTCAACACTGCCGGCAACAGTGTGTTTTAAATTGACTCAAAACACAAGTACACAACACACACATAGCCTCAACGCCTCATCACTCACCGACAACGATTCCCCCGTTGACACGCACAAAGACAAAAAACGCCGCCAACACCGCCAGCAGTGGGAAGAAGCTTCCGAGAAACTTCCCCCGCAGGGCCCACGCGCGGTGCAGCAGCAGCAGGAGCGCCCTGGGTGCGTCCTCCCCTCTCGCAGCTGCCCCCATCGCCCAGGAAGGATCCTGGAAGCTTCCCTTTATCCGATCGGTGGCAACGCCGTTTTGTAAATCCCCATGCTCAGCAGATCTGCCCCTGCTGTCCTTGTCGGTCTTGTCTTCTTCTGCCTTGTCTTTTCCTGCCTTGTCTTTTTCTGCCTTGTCTTTTTCTGCCTTGTCTTTTTCTGCCTTGTCTTTTTCTGCTGTGTCCTTTCGTGCTGCAACTCTCTGTGCTTCTGATCCTGCCCGCGCATCTAATCCTCCAGCCTGGAACCCTTCTAACTGTGCAGTTTCCTGGGGGGTCAGAAGTGTGGGCATGCCCAGGAATTGCGAGGCGGAGAGGCAGAGAGCGAGCAGAGCCCACACGGCGTTGGTCTGGCGGATGATGATGCTGCCTGCTGCTAGCTGCCAGGGGGGGGGGTGCGGGAGGGAGGAGGGGGCGGCAGGGGGGGGGGAAACCTGTGAGAGCGAGCAGGAAGTGGATAGGCATAGTGAGGGAGGCAGAGAGCGAGCAGGAAGTGGATAGGCATAGTGAGGGAGGCAGAGAGCGAGCAGGAAGTGGATAGGCATAGTGAGGGAGGCAGAGAGCGAGCAGGAAGTGGATAGGCATAGTGAGGGAGGCAGAGAGCGAGCAGGAAGTGGATAGGCATAGTGAGGGAGGCAGAGAGCGAGCAGGAAGTGGATAGGCATAGTGAGGGAGGCAGAGAGCGAGCAGGAAGTGGATAGGCATAGTGAGGGAGGCAGAGAGCGAGCAGGAAGTGGATAGGCATAGTGAGGGAGGCAGAGAGCGAGCAGGAAGTGGATAGGCATAGTGAGGGAGGCAGAGAGCGAGCAGGAAGTGGATAGGCATAGTGAGGGAGGCAGAGAGCGAGCAGGAATTGGATAGGCATAGTGAGGGAGGCAGAGAGCGAGCAGGAAGTGGATAGGCATAGTGAGGGAGGCAGAGAGCGAGCAGGAAGTGGATAGGCATAGTGAGGGAGGCAGAGAGCGAGCAGGAAGTGGATAGGCATAGTGAGGGAGGCAGAGAGCGAGCAGGAAGTGGATAGGCATAGTGAGGGAGGCAGAGAGCGAGCAGGAAGTGGATAGGCATAGTGAGGGAGGCAGAGAGCGAGCAGGAAGTGGATAGGCATAGTGAGGGAGGCAGAGAGCGAGCAGGAAGTGGATAGGCATAGTGAGGGAGGCAGAGAGCGAGCAGGAAGTGGATAGGCATAGTGAGGGAGGCAGAGAGCGAGCAGGAAGTGGATAGGCATAGTGAGGGAGGCAGAGAGCGAGCAGGAAGTGGATAGGCATAGTGAGGGAGGCAGAGAGCGAGCAGGAAGTGGATAGGCATAGTGAGGGAGGCAGAGAGCGAGCAGGAAGTGGATAGGCATAGTGAGGGAGGCAGAGAGCGAGCAGGAAGTGGATAGGCATAGTGAGGGAGGCAGAGAGCGAGCAGGAAGTGGATAGGCATAGTGAGGGAGGCAGAGAGCGAGCAGGAAGTGGATAGGCATAGTGAGGGAGGCAGAGAGCGAGCAGGAAGTGGATAGGCATAGTGAGGGAGGCAGAGAGCGAGCAGGAAGTGGATAGGCATAGTGAGGGAGGCAGAGAGCGAGCAGGAAGTGGATAGGCATAGTGAGGGAGGCAGAGAGCGAGCAGGAAGTGGATAGGCATAGTGAGGGAGGCAGAGAGCGAGCAGGAAGTGGATAGGCATAGTGAGGGAGGCAGAGAGCGAGCAGGAAGTGGATAGGCATAGTGAGGGAGGCAGAGAGCGAGCAGGAAGTGGATAGGCATAGTGAGGGAGGCAGAGAGCGAGCAGGAAGTGGATAGGCATAGTGAGGGAGGCAGAGAGCGAGCAGGAAGTGGATAGGCATAGTGAGGGAGGCAGAGAGCGAGCAGGAAGTGGATAGGCATAGTGAGGGAGGCAGAGAGCGAGCAGGAAGTGGATAGGCATAGTGAGGGAGGCAGAGAGCGAGCAGGAAGTGGATAGGCATAGTGAGGGAGGCAGAGAGCGAGCAGGAAGTGGATAGGCATAGTGAGGGAGGCAGAGAGCGAGCAGGAAGTGGATAGGCATAGTGAGGGAGGCAGAGAGCGAGCAGGAAGTGGATAGGCATAGTGAGGGAGGCAGAGAGCGAGCAGGAAGTGGATAGGCATAGTGAGGGAGGCAGAGAGCGAGCAGGAAGTGGATAGGCATAGTGAGGGAGGCAGAGAGCGAGCAGGAAGTGGATAGGCATAGTGAGGGAGGCAGAGAGCGAGCAGGAAGTGGATAGGCATAGTGAGGGAGGCAGAGAGCGAGCAGGAAGTGGATAGGCATAGTGAGGGAGGCAGAGAGCGAGCAGGAAGTGGATAGGCATAGTGAGGGAGGCAGAGAGCGAGCAGGAAGTGGATAGGCATAGTGAGGGAGGCAGAGAGCGAGCAGGAAGTGGATAGGCATAGTGAGGGAGGCAGAGAGCGAGCAGGGCCCACACAGAGTTGGTCTGGCGGATTATGAGGCCTGCTGCTAGCTGGGAGGGGGGGGAGGGGAGGGAAAGACGAGCATTGGGATGAGGGACAAGAGGTGGAGACTAGAGAGACAGCTAGAGAGGAGTGGAACAGAGTGAAGTGAAGAAAGACAGGGCACTCACAATTGCAGCACGGTAGTGTTGCCTCTTGTACACACATCGCATCATAGCCAGCACTGCTACACACGACGCCAAGCCAATGTGTGCGGTAGAGAGGAGTGGGGCAGGGTAAAATAGCGCAGAAAAGAACGCTTACCAACGCGGCGCGGTGGTGTTGCCTCTTGTAAACACATCGCATCATAGCCAGCACCGCTACAGACGAAGCCACGTCCGTGTAGTATAGGAATCCAAAGAACCAGTGCAGGGGGAACAGGACAAACATCGCCGCCCTCCACGTGCAGTCCTCGTCGACCTCGTCCCAAGGCGCGTGCTTGCGCGGGCGGCTTTTGGTGTCATTTTCCGTGCTGTTCCCGGCTTCGTCTTGCGTTTCATCTCCGGTGCCGTCCCGCGTTTCGTCTCTGGTGTCATATCTGGTTTCGTATCTGTGTAGCAAGGCTGCGACACCTCGAGGTCGCGAATGCGGCTTGCCCGCCTGGGGAGGGGGGTATGGGTAGGGGATATGACAAAGAATGGAGGATCAAATCATGGATCATGGATCATGGATTATGGATTATGGATTATGATGAAGGAGCATGTGTGCTATGGCCACGGGAAGAAACGTACCACGCAGGCAAGCGTACGGGAGTTCCGTTCCAGCATGCGAGTTTCGGCTGTGCGGAAGAAACTACATTGACGGGAGAACGAGTCGCCTTCTCAGGCGATTTCAAATCTGGTCGTGGGGCATGGATCCAACAGCATGTAAGTTTTTTGAGGCGCCTCAAAAAAGTCGTCGGGCATGCATGGATCCAGCAGCGTGTACGTTCGGTTCGGCCCTATGGAGGACGAGCATCCAGATTATACAAGAGGGAGGATGAGCTGAGAGGAGGAGTGGAAGGACGAGTTGAGAGGAGGAGGTGAAGATTTCTAAGGAGGAGGGGAGGCAGGGATGGGATGGGAAGGGAGGCATAACGAATGAAGGAGAAAGTTGGAGGAAAGGGGGAGGACGGGGAGGGAGTGTGTGATGTCCTACTCACACAGCATTACCTTGTTTGAACGAGCTGCAGCTGACGTCTTTTGACTCAACTCAAAGGTCACCTTGGAAGGGGAGGAGGACGGGGAGGGGGAGTGGGGTCCTACTCACAACAGCAGTACCTTGTTTGAACGAGCTGCGACTGCTGTTGCACCAGCAGCATCAGAGGCACCAGAAGCAGCACCAGCAGCAGCAGCGGCAGCAGCACGGGCAGTGGAGTAGAAGAGGGGGAAGGAGAGGACGAGGAGGAGGAGGTTGAGAGACCGCAGCGCCACGGGGGAGCACAGGGACGCGAATGACACGCCTGCTGCTGACGTGGCACCTGACAGGGTGGCGTCTGACGTGGCATCTGACGTGGACGCCAGGCGGGCAGCGATTTTGGCGATGCCTAGGAGTTGCAGGAGAGCGTATTGCATGCCCACGAATACAAGGGCTAGGTAATAGCTGAGAGATGGGGAATGCGGAAGTGGGGTTGTGAAGGAAGGGGGGAAGATGGGGGGTGTGAAGGAAGAAGGAGAGGGGAGGATGCGGGAGGGCGTATTGCATGCCTGCGGATATAAGGGCTAGGTAGTAACTGGGGGACAGGGGATGGGTGAGGGGAAGTGGGAAGGGGGGGAAAAGATGGGGGGGGGGGGGGGGCCGATGAGGGAAGAAGGAGAGGGGAGGATGCAGGAGGGCGTATTGCATGCCTGCGGATATAAGGGCTACGTAGTAACTGGGGGATAGGGGTGAGTGGACTTTTGAGGCGCCTCAAAAGTCGTCTCCTGTACCACGAATACAAGGGCTAGGTAGTAATTGGGGGATATTGGTGAGTGGAAGGCGCAGAGTGAGGAGAGAAAGGAAAGAAACTGGGGGGAAAGGAAGGAAAAGAAGGAGGGAAAGGAGGACGAGAACAGAGAAAGGAAGGGGGAAGGAACAGAGAACAGGAAAGGCGGACTAACATTGTTGACTCCGACCTGTGATGAATTGCGTTGACTTGCGTTGACTTACAGGCCAGGCAGCGTGGTGATAAGCGGGTGCCACGTCAGCAGGTCCCCTCGGCAGTACTGCTGCGTCTGAGGCACGTGGAATATCTCATCCTGAATTTCGGGAGGGGAGGGGAAAGAGTGGGGAGTTGGGGAGGTGGTGGGGAGGGTCAAGAATTGTAAATTTATCTCGCTCCATGCACAGCTGGGGAACACGATGATCAATGATGGGTGTCAGCGAACTAGTCTACACCATAGGCAACTATTCTGGCACGGTGTGCTCGGCTGAAGGACATGTGGATTCCGAGGCGTCTTAGACAATAATTGCAGGATACTACTCTCGCGCCATGTACGAGGCACGCCACGCTTGCGGTGACTTTTGACGACTAAAAGGTGGGATATCAGACTAGCAATCACGCATTGTGGGATATCAGTCTCGCACCATGTACGTCTAGAAAGCATGGTAGCTTTGGAATCAATTAACTACTTATACTCGCACCATGTATGGCTCGGGGACATGGTGATTCACAAGGCATGCCACGATCGCGCCGCTTACGAGAAGCGCTTCGGTGACGCGCCGCCGCACCCATTTTAAGTCCATACCACCGACTGCCATGCTGACGCGTCACAGCTGCTTCGACGGTGTCACAATGAATAACGCGTGTCACCGGCTCGCAGGGAGCATCGTATGAATGGAGGGAGTAAGGATCCGAGAAGAATAACAGCAGAAGGAGCGCTGAGAAAAAAGTAGTGGATTGAATTTGTTCTAAGAAAAGCTAACTGGACCACTATTTTGACCCTGGTCGACATCACCAAAGTATGTCGGAGTTCGGTGTAGTACGGTTCAAGTTGTTCTGAAATTGTTTTGCTAAGATAATGAGTGGTTGGTTTGGCGCTTTGAGCAGATTGAACTTCACGAATCTGCTGAAAAAAGACAACACCATGGGATCAGTTCGGCTCCACTTCACGTGCATTACCTCTTTGGAACGCATTTGACCGAACAAAAACGTGTGACATGACTACAAAACACACACGTTTTCACAAGACGAAGGATTTAGGGAAGTCCCCGTTAGTGAAATAATGGGGCTTGTGAATCAATAATATGTTTGGCGAAGCACAAGGAGTCCGCCAATTACAGCTAAGGGTTCTCTCGGAATTATTGCCCGTAAGCCTTCCAGATTCATGTACTAGACAACCAATGCCCTAACATCCTATATTATATTATATTTATAAATATTCTCAAGACCTAGCCTCTTTCAGCATTATCTTGCTGAAGATCTATAGCTCGTTCATAGCCTTAATGGCGTACGTGGAATGACTTGAAAGACAACTCTTTAAGATCGTCCACCTCATTCTTAAAAGCGCATCGCTCGATGCGGGAATAAGGAGAGCCAGTGGTGCATAGCCATACCTTCCTGCAGCCCAATGCAGCAATGTCGAGATGCGAAGCAGACAGATGAAGGGAGGAGAAGAAAGGGGTGTTGAGGGAGAGGGGGATGTGGAGGCGAAGAATGTGGGAGGGAGGGAGAAAGGAGGGAGAATGTGTTGACTAATGGTCAGAGACGAGTGAGAAGGCACGCACCACAATGAACAACCTTAATGACATCTATGTTGGTGTTGCTTTTCAGAATTCCGAAAAGCAGCACCAAATGTGTTGAGTAATGGCCAGAAGCAAGAGAGAACAGAAGGCCAGCACCACAATGAACGACCTCAGCTAGCTGCACTCCAGCTGTGGCTTCACTTTAATGGCATCTGCTGCTTTACCACTCATATACTCAACTTCGATATACTCACACGTACTGCACATTCTCTCTGCGCCCCTAAATCTCCCCCTCCACTGTCCCCATGTCTGTGTTACTTAACCAGCCCCAGTTCGGTCGCCGCGTGGCCCGTGTGGTACTTGAACGACACTCCTTGCACCACTTCATCATACATCTCCTGCACGCACCAACTCGTTATACTCACATCTCCTGCACGTTCTCCTTGCGCCCCTGAATCTCCCCCTCCACTGTCCCCATGTCTGTGTTTCGGCACCACCCCACCAGCCCCAGGGAAGTCGCTTTATGGCTCGTGTAATACCGGAACGACACGCCTTGCACCTGACAGAAAGTGAAAAAATGAAGATATTGATGATGGACCGACTCGGAACCCCACGATATGGATACCCTACACCTGACAGAAACTGATAGAAAGGAGCAAGCAATTTTTACTGACGGCCTGATGCATCGCTGTGAGTGTTCTATATTGCCAAGGCATGACTAGAAACGGATTAAAACGGACAAAACGGAATCAGGAAATCGCCCGCGGTGACTTCACGGCGTTCGCTACAGAACAAAAAGAAGGAATCTCGCTAGTCCTGATTGGCGTACTCATCCGCATCCCCGTTACTACCTTGCCGAAGACCTCGAAGGCAAATCCGGCAAGCGCCATCTCGCCGCGCTCACGTGATGGAGAGCGGAGATTACGGAGAAATGGGGTGGGGAGGGCGCAGGGAGAGGAGAGCAACGAGAGAAGGTAGAAGGGAGGGGGAATGGGAACGAAGAATGCAAGTGAAGGACGACGGGAGACGCGACAAGAGCGATGGCGCTAGCGATGGGAAGAGAAATGGCGAGACACGGGACGGGATGGAAGGGAATGGTAGGAGAGTGTTCGCCGGGAAGTGGAAGAAGTTAGGGCGTATTCTTGCACTTTGGGTCATCAATACTTTGGGTCTTCCGAGATTGTGGGATCCAATCGGAAAATCGGAATGCACCCCAATCTCTTGATTCCGAATTTTCGATTAGATCCCACAATTTCGGATAGCCCGAAGTGCTGATGACCCGAAGTGCAGGAATACGCCCTTAGGATTTACGCAGTTCCGAGCACGACATTCCGAAGTTCCCAGAAAAATGTCAGAATGCACTCTGACGTCTGCATAGTCATTTATGTTATTTTGTTACGGGTGCAATGAATCGAGGTAGCGAGAATTGCACTAAGGTGTCAAACGAGTACAAAATGTGAGCGAAGGCATGAGCGAGCATTTATACGCGAAACATGCAAAACGGTAACGCGGTGCGTGCGAACTTGCTAGTGCTACGCTGGAGCGAGGCTCGGGCTAGTCCCGAAGCGTAGGCCGATACGGCCATGCCAGCAGTGCGAGGTTTGGCAAAACAGTGCGCGCGAAGTCGGCGAAGTTCCGTTAGCAGTAACGGGCGAACAGTCGGCTGTTGCTGTACGCGATGTAGTCGGCTCCGTAAGGAATGCCTGAGAAAATTCCTTACACTACCCCCCCCCCTTAAGAAGCCCCCTCCGCTACGCGAGTGCGTGTATATCCCGGAATCCCCGGCTTCTCAAGTACACTTGCAGGGCAGGGTGATTTTCGATGTTGCTCAGGGGCACCCAGCTATCTTCAGTTGGCGTGCGGTCTTTCCAGCGAACGAGGAATTCAATCCTCCTGATTCCCGTGGGGTGGCGGATCCGATGGCTCAAAAATTTCTCGGGCTCGATGATCGGCTCTGATGCAGGGCGAGTCATTGATTGTGGCCGGTGACGCGGCAGTTGACTCGTGGTCGGGATGTATGGGCGAAGTAGGCTGACGTGGAACGAAGGGCTGATGTACCAGTCAATTGGCAACAGTAGGTGCGCGGTGACGGGTGTGATCATGTGACTGATTTGGAATGGTCCACAGTAGCGCGGTCGTAATTTTGGTACGTCGGGCAGTCGCAGATTTTGCGTGTCGAGTAGCACGTAATCTCCAGATTGATACGTGACGGGGCGGCGGTGGCGATCAGCGTTGCGCTTAGCGATGACGTTGGCCTTTTTTATTGCTTCGGCGGCTCTGGCGCGGGCAGCTTGCAGGATTTCGGCGAATTGTTGTGCGCGTGGCGTGGGGTTGTCCGGACTCGGCGTCATGGGCACTGTGGGGTTCTGCCCATAGTTCAGGTAGAACGGGGACTGCTGCGTCGTGGCTGATGTGGCGTTGTTGTACGCGAACTCGATCAGCGGCAGCTGCTGCTCCCAGGTCGTGGGGTCGTCGCACGTGGCACGAATCAACTGCTCCATCGTCTGATTCGTCCGCTCCGTTTGGCCGTCGGTCTCGGGGTGGTACGACGAACTGAACTGTAGCCTGGTCCCGAACTGCTCCCAGAGGTTCTTCCAGAAGTTGCTGGTAAACTTCGTGTCCCTGTCGCTGATAATTGCTGCTGGTATCCCGTGCAGGCGAACAACGGCTGCGATGAACAGGCGAGCGGTCTCTTCGGCTGAGATCGACTTTTTGCACGCAGCGAAGTGTGCCATCTTCGTCAACCTATCCACGACGACCATCACCGCGTCGTTACCCCCAGGGTTCGAAGGTAACCCTGTGACGAAGTCCATGGTTACTTGCTGCCAGGCGCGTTCGGGCGGTGGGATCGGCTGCAATTGACCCGCCTTCCGCTTCCTTGAACTCTTCATCACCTGACACGTCGGGCACGAGCCCACGTGCTGCTGTACGTCGGTCAACAGCTCCGACCAGTAATAGTACCGCTGCAGTTGCTGTCGTGTTTTTTCTACCCCGAAATGTCCCGAGGTAATCCCGTCGTGTGCCTCCTGCAGCAGCAGCTCCCTCAGTAGTGAGTACGCGGGTACCCAAATGCGGTTGGTGCCTGTTTTTACGTAATAAACTCCTTTTGCTTCTGCCAGTTGCTGTGAATTTCCGGTCGTGAAAAATGGGTCGGTGCGGTATCCGTGGGTGAATAGGCCAGTTAAAAGCGGGTTGGTCTGGGCGAGTAGGATGGCGTGGAGTTGGGCGGTGGGGCGGGTGAGAGCGTCGGCGATGTTGGATGCTCCTTTTTTGTACGTGACGGTGTAGTGAAAATTGGACTCGAGATAGTCCAACCAGCGAATCTGTCGTGGGTTGAGATTCGGTTGGGCGCGAAGGTACTGTAGCGAGCGGTGGTCTGTCCGTACTGTCACGTCGGCACCAGTCAGGTAACATCGCCAAACTTTGAACGCGTGCACGATCGCTAGCATCTCGCGGTCGTGTATCGGGTAGTTACGTTCGGGCGGGTGTAACTTGCGGGACTCGTACGCGATTGGCTGGAGGCCATTCCCGAAATCCTGCAACAGTACTGCTCCCACAGCGATGTCACTTGCGTCGGTGACGAGCTCGAACGGACGGTGGGGATCTGCAATGTGAAGGACGGGCGGGGAGCACAAAATATTTTTGAGGGCCGAGAAGGCAGCTTGCTCTTTCTCCCCCCACGTGTACTCAACCCCCTTCCTCAGCAGGTCAGTCAACGGGGCAGTCAGTTTCGCCATGTCGGGGACGAACCGGCGCACGTAGTTGACGAACCCCAGGAAACTCTGCAACTCGGTCAAGTTGGTCGGCGCGTGCCAAGCCTGAATCGTCGCAATTTTCTTCGGGTCTATTTCCACTCCTGCAGCTGAAATAACATGTCCCAAAAACTCCAGGCGGTCCTGTAAAAACTCACACTTAGATGCTTTGGTCAGTAGGCGGTTCTCACTCAGGATTTTAAAAACTGCTTCGATGTCTTGTAAGTGCTGTGCTCTGTCAGGGCTGTAAATCAGTATGTCGTCCAGATAAACGATGACGCACTTATCTAAAAGCGGGCGGAATGCTTCGTTCATGGTCATTTGGAAAGTGGCGGGGGCGTTGGTCAGTCCGAATGGCATGACGGTGTATTCGAAGGATCCGTAGCGTGTTCGGAATGCGGTTTTAGGGCAGTCGGGTGGGTTGACGCGGATTTGGTGGTATCCTCCTCGGAGGTCGATTTTCGAGAAAACCCGGGCTGTGCGCAGTTGGTCGATCAGTTCGTCAGCTCGTGGGATGGGGTAACGGGATTTGATGGTAACCCTGTTCAGTGCCCTGTAGTCGATGCACATGCGAAAACCCCCGTCCTTTTTCGGTGTGAACAGTATTGGTGCGGCGAAAGGCGACGAACTAGGGCGAATGAATTCCTTTTCTAGCAGGTAATCGAGCTGCTTCCTTAGTTCGTCTAATTCGGGTTGGGTCAGTCGGAACTGTCGCTGTACTGTTGGCTGTGCTCCCGGTTCCAGTTCTATCCTGTGATCGTGCGGTCGCTGAGGTGGCAGTCCCGTCGGCAGGTCATCCGGGAAAATGTCACTGTACTGTTGTAACAGTGCCGCCAGGTCACTCGGTACGTCGGTCAGCAGTTTCTGTAAATCGCCTCCCTTGTCTGCTGCCTCGGCTTCCCGAATGTCAACCGCGTACACGTCGGCTCCGGCCGCAACAGCGCGTTTCATCGTGATCGCGTTGACACGCACCGACGAAGACTCAGGCGAGCCCCAGCGAGGTAAGGCGATGCTGTTACCGTTCACTCGCACGGTGCAGTCACCCGTCGTCCAGTCAATTCGCGGGTTGTGTCGTCGCAGCCAATCACGCCCGAGTAAAATGTCGGTTCCGTCGAGGGTCGTTGCGAGCATTTCCTGACTAAACGTGAAGTTACCCCCGCATCGAATCCGAACTCGGTCTACGCGTTCCCGTATTGCCAGCGGCGTGCCGTCTACCAGTCGTGCGTCGATCTCAGGTAAGCATCGGTCCAGTGGCAGTCGCAGTTTTCGTGCTGTAGCAGTGTTAATGAGGCTGTGGCTGGCTCCCCCATCTACGAAGATTTTAACTAAGTCCGTCCCAATTTTCCCACTGAGCAGTATAGGGCTATCTACCGTGGTACCCTCCTTATTCGGCCGGGTGTGGTCGATTGCGTGAACCGGCACAATCACTCGGTGAGGGTCGGTTGGGTCGGGCGAGCGGCGTGACCTGTCAGTAGAGGGCCCGTCTGCTACTGACTTCCAGCGTTTCCCTGCTGCTTGGTCTGTGTCTGCTGCTCAGCTTCCCCCTTTCCCTTAGCGTTTTCCGGGCATTCGCTCTTGCGATGTCCCGGCCGATTGCACGCAAAGCAGCGCCCTTTGAACGGTGCGGCAGCGGCATTTGCGGCGACGGCGCGTATCGTGGCGCTCTCGTTCGTCCCACGAGGCCGATGTCCCCAGGTGTTGTTTCCGTAGGACCCCGGTCTCGGTCGGCGAAAGAAGTCGAGCTTCTCCGCCATAGCGAGAATTTCCTGAAACTCAGTGACGCCGCGAAGCTGGATTTCCTGAGCGATGTCCTGCTTCAGGCCGCCGATGTAGCGGTCGATGCGTTCGCTCTCATGCATGTAGCCCACCTGCTCGCATAGCGCCAGAAATCCGCTCGTGTAATCCTGGACGGAACCGAGTTGGCGCCAAGTGCGGAGCTTCTGTCGCGCCGAGATCGAGGCCGCGATTGGCTCAAATCGAGCGCGCAGACCTGCGCACCACGCGTCCCACGTGCGATACTGGGGCACCTCCACGAAATACGACGGCGCCCAGGGTCCGGTTTGTCCTTCCCGTGTCGGTAGTGTCGCGTAGTCGGTCGGCTTCGTGACGATGACGCGCCACCAGTCCATGGCGGGTCCTCGCAGCAACGACACGGCGTATCGAATCTTCGCCGAGTCCTCCGAGACGTAGTTGGCGTCGAAGAAAACATTCATTGTGAATAACCACGCCTGAACGGTAGGACCACCCCGTTGACTCGGGTCAAAGCATGGCGGGCGCTGCGGTTTCAGCGGCATCGGTGACGGCAGTCCCGAATCGTGGGTTGGTGCCGAAATCGTGACGCGAGGCTGACTTGGGGCCGCAGGCGTCGCTCTGGGGTGTGTCGTGCCGTGGTCGTCGTCTCCGTCGGGGCGGACGACGCCATCACTGGCCGCGCTCGCGGGTTGCCCCACACTCCCGTGTTGTGATGTTGAGGGTGCAGGTTGAATCGGAGTGCCAGGTGCTTGGGATTGTGCTCTCATGAGGTCATTTTGCAGTGATGAGCGTTCTGCCGTCAATGCCGCGATTTCCTCGGAGCTTTCGTGCAGTTGTCGCAGCAGATCGTTCAAACGCTCCTGCGTGAGAGTGGTGACGTCGATGTTTTCGGCCATGACGAAGGGCGTCGGCTCGTCTTAGTCTAGGCGCAGTCGTGGCTGCACGCGTTTACGAGAGAACGCGAGGACAGCGGCTCCTAGGGGCTAAGGTGCGTGAGTCCCTTCGAGTGAAAAATCAAAAGTTGATTTCCTGGTGTGCGGAGATGCGCGGTCCGAAAGAAAGGGGCTCTGATAACCAAGTGTTACGGGTGCAATGAATCGAGGTAGCGAGAATTGCACTAAGGTGTCAAACGAGTACAAAATGTGAGCGAAGGCATGAGCGAGCATTTATACGCGAAACATGCAAAACGGTAACGCGGTGCGTGCGAACTTGCTAGTGCTACGCTGGAGCGAGGCTCGGGCTAGTCCCGAAGCGTAGGCCGATACGGCCATGCCAGCAGTGCGAGGTTTGGCAAAACAGTGCGCGCGAAGTCGGCGAAGTTCCGTTAGCAGTAACGGGCGAACAGTCGGCTGTTGCTGTACGCGATGTAGTCGGCTCCGTAAGGAATGCCTGAGAAAATTCCTTACATATTTTCATTAAGTTTAAGGAAATATAAGTGCAGTAATATTATCTCTCATTTAAATTTGCGGTTTAACTTTTGTTTTAAGTCCATGGAAGCCAAAATATGATACGCATGTTGTTCTAAAACATAATTTAGTAAGATATTTCTTGTTGGACAAGTCTTTACAGAAATGATTTGCATACAAGGAAGCATCAGCCTTCGCGCAATAATTGAAGCCTCCCGCTTGAATTACACTGAGCACTGCATTATTTGTGCTATATTATTTGCCTCTCGCAAAGCCGTGAGTTGCGGACAATCGTCAGCATCTGTCTCAAACAAATCCAGCCGGCTCGAGCCGTGCATCTGTCTCAAATGTATAATCCACTTAGGGCGTATCCAGGTTCGGGTCATGAGCACTGTTCTTGCTACTGTTTGGGTCATGCGGAATTTGCGCATGACCCGAAGTGGGCTGCCGAGCCGCGCACGGCCCCAGCTTTGGGTCAATGTGTAGGTGTTGTGCGACTGACGTGCACGACCCACCCACAGCCAATCACCTGGTTGCACGACTGTGGTGTAACTGCCAACTTTTTGTCGTTCGGCAGTCGAGTGTCACACGTGGGCAATTTCCCACGTCTGACACCTCTGCACCCAACCACTCGGCAAATTGACCCCGAGTGTGTCAAAAAATTCTCGAGTCGTGCTCCCAACATTTGGGAATTCGCTCCGGGAATTTTGGGATTGTGATTTCTCGCTGAGTGTCACGTAGTTTTTCATGTGTCTCGCTAATGACCTTTCGAAATGTTCTGGCATCCCCCATTGGATGCGACTGTTGTTGTGGGCTGGATTTTGGCGCGAAAACCCTCGCGGCAATATAGGGGTCGCATGACCCAAACATGCGTTCTATATTGTTTGGGTCATCCGCAAATCGCGCATGCCCGGAACAGTGCTCATGACCCGAACCTGGATACGCCCTTATCGTACCGCGCAAATAATCCACCCCTCACTCACCTGGTTCTGTGCGTGACAAGTGCATAAATTGAGCCCCTTATTCACACGAATATGCTGGAACAAACAGCAGATGTCATGCTATTTCCTCTCAAAACTTCCTAATTCCCTGGCTATTGCGCTCCTGGAATAACCTGCTGTTGCTCGATTCAGCTGCAGGGATCAAATCAGGGCGTGCGACTGGGAGAGCTGAAGCGAGCCTTCACGGGAATGAGAATTCCCATTATGAATTTGACGATGTACAGGTCTGTCCTTCTCATAGTAGCGTTCGCAATCGCTCTCATTGGTCAAGCTACTGCCCGTATTCTCAACGAGGATCTTTTTCTGCCCAACGCATGCGCTCTCCTGCCGAAGCACTCGGCCCTGTGCTCCGCGGAAGTCCTCTCCGCGAGGCGTTCTCTGCGCGCGGATTCCGCCCCGCCAACTCCTCGCGGCATGCAGCGGGCGCTCATTCGGCGCGCAATGGAGCGCGCGCAGGCGACGATGGAACACGTGGCGCATCTGAAGGCGGAAAACACGGACAAAGTTTCGCTGACGCACGCGGCAGCGATTGACTGCGTCCACCAGGTAAACGAAGTACATTGGTATGTTGGAAAAATAATTGAAAGTAACAAACTTTCATCTTGCGGTTTAAAGATTCCAACTGATCTGCTCGACGTGAACAGCATTCCGAGCATATGCTCCTCTCGTTCAACTATCTGTCAAACTGCTTGATTTCTGAATCCCTCCCTCCCTCGATCCCTCCACCACCCCTCCCTCCCTGCCTTGCACACCCGGGTAGATATCCATGGCGCTCGATAATCTCGAAAATTCGCTGAACGCCGTTACCGCCTCAATCAACGGCTCACAAGCCACTCGGGAAAGCCGGCGTTCTGACAGTCGTCCGATATTTCCGGCCGATCGGACGGCTTCTGTTGACGACCTGCCGTACATCCTAACGTCAGCTCGGGCGAACATCGACAGCTGTGTCGAGGGGCTGCAGGAATTCGCGCCAGATGCGCTGGAAACGGCGCCGGGGATTCGTCTTCGGTCGGAAGTTACGCTCATTACAGTCACAGTCACCGCAGCCCACGCGTGCGTCCCGTGCGCAATCGACGACGAGATCTCCGCCTTCCGCCGATGATGATTCCGCCGACTACCCCGGTGACTCCATCGCGGAAAAGACAAGGGCCAGAGGTGACGAAAATGTGACATTTTCGTCACATTTTCGTATACGGTATTTTGGGGTAAAAAGGTGATGGATGGAAGTGCCGAAGCCAGCGTCACTTCCAATGTGACGGCGATGTCACGTAAAAGCTTCCCCCGCGTCCCAACCACCGTCACTACTCAGTCACGCGCTAGTCACGCACAGGTCACCACGGGGGTTGCTCGGTGGAGTGAAGAACAAATGCCACAATTAGACGCAATCTTACGAGAACCATACACGTATTGACCATGCCGTCATCATGATATACTGTCAGTTACAGTACTCGTACGCTACAAAGCGCCTCGAGCCACAGTCCTATCCAACCAACAGCCTTCACGTGGACGACCATGATCAACCTGGAGTTGCATCCACACCTTTTGTTGTCATCCCACGTGACCAATGCCCACGCGCCATCTCATGATATCACCTAATCCCCATTGGTCGACAGTTAACACAGCATGTCGCCATCCCACTACGTGGATATGGCGGATGCCGTTGAATTATGGCATGGTGAACGGCTGTAACTGCCTTCGTGATCTCTGCATGTGTAAGCTACCTGTGCATCCAACCGTCCACGTACACACGCATCGACGATATGTCGCGGTCGCTCTCGCCAGCAAAATCTCACCATTGTTGCCATGTAATCACTCCCGTCCGTTGTTGTAGACCCACGTGGCCCTAGTACACGTTACACGGAGCCACCGATGCTGGCCCACATGTCCCGCCCTCGACCGTCTACCACACCATCATCCAACGGTACACAGGCCTGCCGATACACTTGCATCTACGACTCCTCCTTGCATAGGGCACGCATGGCCTCACGATAGGGTGGGTTGGACCGTCACGAACTGAACCGCTGTCACCATCTATCCGCATCCAACGGCACACATCCGAACCGCATTATGCGTTTGTGACCCTACGCCAATGGCCGTATTTGACTGCCTCGTTACACATTCCGCAGACTGGTTGGCAGGTCATGTTTTCCTAGTGATAACGAACACCTGTGATAAATCGTCCATGCTTTCTTGTTCCGCCAAAATAGATACGCAATTGACATTAAACACTAGAACGCGCGGCATATGCGCCACCATGGCCCCTTGTCAATGGCCGCCTCTCACGACCCACCACCGTTTCCTTACAACGCCACCACATATACATTAGACATAGGGTTTAGCCACAATTGTTTGCACTGGCCTACGATGCCACGCTGCGCCTTCTGTTTTTCCTCCGATTATGCCTGCGGAGTACCGCGGCTGACGCTTGCATCCGCGGTCACTGCTTCGACGGCAGCGATGCCGTCGGCCGAGATGCGCAGACCATGGCAGCCCCACTCCCAGCTCTGGGACGCCTCGTCATAGGCTGGTCGGAAATCCGCGATGGCGGCCCTAACAGCAGCCTTGACGAGGACGTGGAGGCCGTCCACGATCTGCGCGTTGGTGCTCGCGGAGTTGGCGAAGCGACCCTGGCGCTCCTCCCAGTGATTGACTGCATCTGTCACCTGCGCGCGTCGAACCACACACACGCGCACGTGAGGACACTCGCCCAGGTACGATAAGTTGTAATAATGAACACGGTGTAGGCGTACCACGTGCTCCAGCCATGCCACGTGGTAGAGCTTCAGTGTCACGGTCCCGTTGACCATCCTCGGCTTGAACACCGCACACGCGTAGGCTGTAAACGCCCCAGACGCGAACGGCATCCCTTCACGGGAGCAACTCCAGCTAGACAGCCGCAGCTTCCCTGCCACGTGACGCATAAACAACGCGCGCGTTAAATGACGGTTATCTATGCATATGTACTTCACTCACTTACGCCCTTCTTGTGGTATCACCCCCTTACCTGTCAAACATTATATATGTTGTGTTTGTTTAGGCTACAGTGGGTTAGCCTATAGGGGGTACACAATTCTAGGGTTAGGTACTTGTACTGATTTCATTGTTAGTTCCATCATTCCTGTTCGTTCATTCTGACATGGTTTCAGAGCAGGTCCTTCGCTAGGACCGTTTCTTTAGGGCCCACCGCTACCTACCTACCTACCTACCTACCTACCTACCTACCTACCTACCTACCTACCTACCTACCTACCTACCAACGCCCTAGGGCGCCTCGGTTTTCACGGCCCCCTAAGGCCCCGCGACCCGCGACCCGCCCCTTAGCGACCCGCGCGCCGCCCCTTAAGGCCCCTTACGGCCCCGCGCTCGTCCCTAGAGGCCCCGAACGGCCCGCGCTCGCCCCTAGAGGCCCCGAACGGCCCCGCGCTCGCCCCTTACGGCCCGCGACCGCCACAGCCCCTCCAGGACCGAGCCGAGCCGCGCGACCTGAACCGAGACGCCCAGTCCGAGCCGAGCCGCGCGACCCGAACCGAGCCGCGCCACCCTACCCGAGCCGCGCCGCCCTACCTGCACCGGACCGAGCCGCCCTTCCTGTCTCATACTGCTACTGCTACTGCTACAGCTACTACTACTGCTGCTCCTACTGCTGCTATGGCTAGCCCACCTGTACTAGCTTTCGATGCTGAGGGCCGCCCTGTGAAGTTTGACACCTGGCTAGATGACCTGCACCTCTACCTACAACTCACTGCCAAGGAGGACATCTCACTGTACGACCACGCCCTAGGCAATGCTACTGCACCTGATGCAACTGCTGACAGCACTCTCCGCTCACAGTGGCAGACTCGTGATGCCCATGCTCGCTTTGCCATTCGCAACTCCCTCCCGATAGATGAGCGCGAGCACTTTGGCCAGCACAAGACTGCACAGGCACAGTACACTGCTGTCGTTGCCCGCTACTCCTCACCGGCCTCTGCCGCGCTAGGCCGTCTCTCGCTTCCCTACCTGTTCCCCGAGTTGGCCTCTTTCCACACCGTCGCTGACCTCATCACGCACCTCCGCACTAGTGAGGCTCGCTTCCGCGCCGCTATGCCTGATGAGTTCCTTGCCAAGAACCCCCCCCCGCTCTGGCTCACTCTCTACCACCTAGTCACCCGCCTCCCTGACACTCTGCGCTCAGTCAGGGACCACTTCCTAGCTCGCTGCCCCACTGAGCTCACCATTGCCCTCCTCGAGAAGGAACTCCTTGCAGCTGAGGCTAGCATAGTCGCTGTAGGTGCCTCTCGTGGCGACCCCCGCACCCCGTTCTTTGAGGGGTGTTCTCCTTCCCCCCTTCTTCCCTCTGTCGCCTCTGCTGCTGCTGTCGACCTCCTTGGTGCTGAGAAGGTCGGCGCTGCGTCTGCTTCGAGCGGGCGCCGCAGCGGTAGGGGCAAAGGGGGCAAGGGTGGCGGCGGTGACGGCGAGGGAGGCGGTGGTGGGGGCGGTGGTGGTGGTGGGGGTGGTGGCGGGGCTGGAGGGGCCAGTGGCAGCGGTGGGGGTGGCGGCGGCAGCGGCGGGGGTGGTGGCAGAGCCGGGGGCGGTGGTGGGGGTGGCGGTGGACGCGGCGGTGGTAGGGGTTGGGGTGGTCGAGGAGGTGGCGGCGGCAGTAGTGGTCGTGGAGGCACTGGCGGTGGCCAGGGCCAGCAGCACACTCCGTCGCCCCAGGAGGTCCGTAAGTGGTACTCTCAGCACGGGGGGGGGGGGGGGGGGGTGGCCTTAGCTGCACGTACGTCATTCGCACGGGTGACCGCACTGGTGAGCCGTGTGGGGGACCGCATGCCACGCAGTGTTGTTTCGCTCGCCTCAACGATGCTTGGCATGTTCAGTTCGCTCAGGCCACTGAGCTGCCCCGCTGGATTGATCTCCTGAAGAAGGGGATTGATATCTATGCTCTAGACTTTGATGCTATTCTCACTGCTATGTATGTGATGTCTACTAGTGGAGAGAGTGCTCAGTACCTGTGTGTACCGCCCGACCCGGGCATTAGGACCAGTACGGCTGCCGCTCTAGGTGCTAGTGCGTCTGCCGCTCCAGGTACTCGCATGTCCGCTACCCCAGGTGCTGGTGAGGCAGCTGCTCTAGGTGCTGGTGCGTTTGCCCCCCCTGGTACTGAGTCGACTGCAGCACTGCACACCTTCACACTGGACTCAGGTGCTTCTCGCTGCTTCTTTCGTGACCGCACTGCCCTTGAGCCGCTTGCTCGGCCAGTTGCTGTCTCCCTCGCTGACCCCTCTGGGGGTCCGGTCATTGCGACCTCCTCCACTGTCCTTCCCTGTCCTGCGGTCCCGTCGGGCACACTGTCAGGTCTCCACCTCCCCTCGTTCTCTACTAACTTGGTGGCGGGTTGTGCGCTCCAGGACGGGGGTGTTCACCAGTTCACCCCTGCCAACGAGCGCGTGACACACTGCACGTGTGCCCGTACGGGCCGTCACTTGGCTACCTTCACTCGGCAGCTGGGGTCGGACCTGTACACACTGACCACTGAGTCCCCTCAGGTCGCTGCGTCTGCGTCTGCGTCCCCGTCAGGTCAGCTGTCGGCCCCCTACTCGTGTCGCTCTCTGGCACACGAGACCGTCCTCTGGCACCACCGACTTGGCCACCCGTGTGTGCAGCGCCTTCGTGCCATGCACTCCCGGTACCTTGTCTCTGGTCTTCCCAGGGTCCTCCCTCCCCTCCCACCCTCGCCTGCTCCTCCCTGTCTTCCCTGTGTCGAGGGGCGGCAGCGCGCCGCTCCTCACGCCTCCTCGTTTCCCCCGATGACTGCTCCCTTGCAGACGCTCCACATGGACGTGTGGGACCCAGCCCGCGTCCGTGGTCAGGGTCAGGAGAGGTACTTCCTGATAGTTGTTGACGACTACTCGCGCTACACCACGGTCTTCCCCTTGCGCACCAAGGGTGAGGTCCGTGATGTTTTCATCCCTTGGATCCGCAGAGCCCGTCTCCAGCTCAATGAGCGTTTCCACTCGGACTTTCCTGTCCTGCGCTTGCACTCTGACAGAGGTGGTGAGTTCTCCTCCGAACTCTTGGCAGCTTTCTGTGCTGAGCACGGCATGGAGCATTCGTTCACGCTTCCGGCCTCTCCACAGCAGAATGGGGTTGCGGAGCACCGCATTGGCCTGGTCATGGAGGTCGCCCGTACCTCCTTGATCCATGTGGCTGCCCCCCACTTTCTGTGGCCGTTTGCAGTCCGGTACGCCGCGCATAAGCTCAACCTCTGGCCCCGTGTCTCCTTGCCGAAGACCTCGCCCACACTGCTGTGGACGGGGGAGGTTGGCGATGCGTCGCGTTTCCGGGTCTGGGGATCTCGAGCTTTTGTCCGCGATACGTCCGCGGACAAGCTCTCCTCCCGTGCTGTTCCTTGCGTCTTCCTCGGCTTTGTCCCGGACACGCCTGGTTGGCAGTTTTACCACGCCACCTCGCGCCGGGTCCTGCCCTCTCAGGACGTCACTTTTGACGAGTTCGTCCCCTACTACCGCCTCTTCCCCTACCGCACTGCCCCGCTCCCCCCCCCCGCCTCTTTTCCTCGCGCCAGGTGCTGCTGTGGTAAACCCCCTCCCCCCTCAGGGTGCCGCTCCCTCAGGTGTGTCTCAGGTAGACCCGGTTGAGCCTGTTGAGGTAGCTGTCGACTCTCGTCCTGCTGGGGGTGCGGAGCCTGGGGGTGCGGAGCCTGGGGGTGCAGAGTCTGGGGGTGCTGAGCCTGGGGGTGCGGAGTCTGGGGGTGCTGAGCCTGGGGGTGCTGAGCCGCGGAGTCCGGAGTCTGGGGGTTCTGAGTCTGGAGGTGCTGAGCCTGGGAGTCCTACACCTGGAGGAGCCCTCTCCTCGGAGCAGCTGCGTGAGTGGTACTTACAGTACTGCAGCCTCAGGAGAGGTGCCTCGGGAGCCACGAGTACTGCTGGGGCTGGTGCTGGTGCTTCCCCGCCTCGTCGGGAGCTCCCCTCTCTTGAGAGGATCCGTCAGTGGTACCTGCGGCGATGCACTCTTCGGAGTGGAGCGCCTGGTGTCGCGGACCCTACTGCTACTGGAGGTACTGCTGGTGCTACTGGGGGTGCTGCTGGTGCTGCTGACCCTAGAGTTGGAGCTGCTGCTGGTGCTGCGGACCCTGGAGTTGGAGCTGCTGCTGGTGCTGCGGACCCTGGAGCTGGAGCCGCTGCTGGTGCTGCGGACCCTGGAGTTGGAGCTGCTGCTGGTGCTGCGGACCCTGTAGTTGGAGCTGCTGCTGGTGCTGCGGACCCTGGAGTTGGAGCTGCTGCTGGTGTTGCGGACCCTGGAGCTGGTGCTGCTGCTGGTGTTGCGGACCCTGGTGCTGTAGGTGGTGCTGCTACTGGCGGTGCTGCTGGAGTTGGAGCTGCTGCTCGTGCTGCGGACCCGGGCGTTGGAGTTGCTGCTGGTGCTGCGGACCCTGGAGTTGGAGCTGCTGCTGGTGCTGAGGACCCGGGTGTTGGAGTTGCTGCTGGTGCTGCGGACCCTGGAGGTGGAGCTGCGGACCCTGGAGGTGGAGCTGCTGCTGGTGCTGAGGACCCTAGAGGTGGTTCTACTGCTGGTGCTGAGGACCCTGGCGCTGGTGTCTCTGCTGGTTCTGGAGTCGCTGCATGGCCGCGGCCGTACGTCGTTCCGCTCCTTCAGCAGGTTCTTGGTCAGCCTCCTCCTCCTTGTCCTCCTCCCTCCTTAGGGTGTCCTCCGTCTGTCCAATCGCAGTCGCAGCTTCCATCTGCCTCCCCTCTCCCTTGTCCTGCTCCTTACACAGGTCCGACTGGAGATCTTACGGAGCGTCGTGCGCCTGAGTCTCGTCCTGCGTCGCCTGAGTCTAGTCGAGCGTCGCATGTTTGTGCTGCTCTCACTGGTCGTCGTGTCCCGCGTCAGCGTCCTCCTGCTGTCCCAGGCACTCAGATGGCGCTTCGTCAGTCCACTGCTCCCCAGCGTGTCCCTCTCCCGTCTCCTCCTGCGTCCTCCCTTCCTGCTCTTGCTGACCCGGAGTCAGACTCCCTTCGCGCTGCCAGTCCTACTGTCACGCGTCTCCTTGCTACTGTTGTCACTGACCCTTCCTTTGAGTCCGCTGCTGCGTCTGCCTTAGTTGCTGAGCTTGTCGACTTTGCTGCCACGTGTCGTCTAGACTACGCCGCGAGTCTTGTTGCTGAGTCTGAGTCTGTCTGTCCTCCGTCCGTCGGGGGTGAGTGTGCTCTTGGCACGGACGTCCTTGAGGACAGGCAGGAGGAGTTTGAGTGCTTTGCCGCCGCTTTGCCCCATCTCGTGTCCATGCTAGTTGCCCCTGAGGGAGACCCGGATGCACCAGACATCCCGACCCCGCGCTCTTACGCACAGGCGATGGCCGGTCCCTACTCCTCTCAGTGGCAGACAGCCATGGACACAGAGATGGCTTCCTGGAAGTCCACAGGCACCTACGTCGACGAGGTTCCCCCACCTGGGGCGAACATCGTCAGTGGCATGTGGATTTTCAGGGTGAAGCGGCCGCCGGGTTCTCCGCCTGTCTTCAAGGCGCGTTACGTGGCTCGTGGCTTCAGTCAGCATCAGGGAGTTGACTTCTTTCAGACCTTCTCCCCGACCCCGAAGATGACCACTCTTCGGGTTCTGCTGCGTGTCGCTGCTCAGCGTGACTACAAGCTCCACTCTCTTGACTTCAGCACTGCTTTCCAACAGGGCAGCCTGCACGAGGAGATCTGGCTGCGCCGCCCTCCTGGCTTCACTGGGTCGTTCCCTCCTGGTACACAGTGGAGCCTCCGGCGGCCAGTCTACGGTCTCCGCCAGGCGCCGCGTCAGCGGCACGACTCACTGAGGAGTCGGAGCTGCAGAAGAGACACACGTGCACAGACTTGGGTGAACTGACAAGCTATCTTGGCTTGCGGATCACCCGGGACAGAGCACGCCGCACCATCACCTTGACTCAGTCACACATGGTGCAGCAGGTCCTTCAGCGTTTCGGCTTTACGTACTCCTCGCGTCAGGCCACTCCTCTGCCTACCGGTCACTCGCTCTCAGCTCTGCCTTCGGATGAGTCCGTAGAGGCGAGTGGCCCGTATCCAGAGCTTGTGGGCTACCTCATGTACCTGATGACCTGCACTCGACCTGACCTTGCATACCCTCTCAGTATTCTTGCACGCTATGTCGCTCCCGGCCGTCACCGGAAGGAGCACATGGATGCAGCTAAGAGGGTGTTGCGCTACTTGTGCAGTACGTCGGGCATGGGGCTAGTGCTTGGAGGGCGAGACCGAGTTGTTCTCACTGGGCACTCAGACGCTTCTTGGGCAGACGACCAGGCTACTCAGCGGTCGTCTCAGGGTTACACCTTCAGTCTTGGCTCTGGTTCAGTTTCTTGGCGTTCTACACGCCCTTCGTCTGTTCTCAGCTCCAGTTGTGAGGCTGAGATCTACGCCACGGCCATGGCGGCCCAGGAGCTACGTTGGCTCACCTACTTGCTGACCGACCTTGGAGAGCGGCCTCGTTCTCCTCCAGTGCTGTATGTCGACAACAGGGCAGCCATTGCCTTGTGTCAGGAGCACAGACTGGGGCACAGAACAAAGCATATTGCTCTGCGCTACTTCCTTGCTCGAGAGCTGCAGCAGCGTGGTCAGATTCGTCTGCGTTACGTGGCCACTGAGGCCAACACTGCTGATGTGTTCACCAAGGCGCTTCAGCCTTGTGACCATCAGCGGTTTTGCACTCTTCTAGGCCTTGTGCCTACTGGACCTCACTTGCTTACTTCTTGACTCTGTTTGTACTGTGATCTCTACATATATACCTGCATGTTTCCTCTTGCTAGGTTGTGATCATTGTACCTCTTGCTCTATTATAAACCTGCATGTGAACTGGTCTTGTGACCACTTGCTTGTGCTCGGAATTTGTGTGGAATCCTTGAGATCCACCCTGAGCTTGTTTTGCCTTGCTTTGCCTTGACCGGTCTTGTGACCCCTAGTTCTCCCCCACTTCGCCTATGGGGGTGTGTCAAACATTATATATGTTGTGCTTGTTTAGGCTACAGTGGGTTAGCCTATAGGGGGTACACAATTCTAGGGTTAGGTACTTGTACTGATTTCACTGTTAGTTCCATCATTCGTGTTCGTTCATTCTGACATTACCCGCCGGTACGTCGCCAAGGCCGACCCTATCTCGGATCCGGGACAGGGTGCGCCTCGCCTTGGTCGCCCAGGGACTCTTCATATCTCGGTCGTGGCGAAAAAGTCCAATCTTCGGCAGCCCGATGTCGCGGACTCTCCCTGCCGCACCAGTCTTCCAGTCGCTGAACGACCTGTTCAGGTCGACCCGACGTGCCTTGCACGACGCTAGAGCAACGCTTGCATAGCTTTCTGTCAAGTTATCCACGACTGCGAAGATGGCCCAAGTCTTGGCGGCGCTGCTGGGGTAGAACGTCAGCTGTGCGTTGGAGCGCCGAACGAACAGCTCGGTGCGCGCCTGCTCACATAATTCCTGCCATGTAAGACCATACATTACGTCAGCAACCACCGCACATGTGGCCCTATGTATACGGCACCATCTCCCACACATGTTACCTTCCAGCCTTTGTCGGTTGGGAGTTTGTCGAGCGCCTCCTGCATAATGGCAGATGGGGAGTGTCGAAGGTGGCCCTCGTCCTCTTCGTCGAAGCCCCCCTCCTCATCGGACGCCGTCTCGGACGTGGAGCGTGCCCGCCGCGCCTTCCGGCGCTTTCCCTTGCCGGAGCCGCGCTTGCGCCTCCTCCTCTTCTTATTGTTGATGTCTTCCTTGGGCTTCGCAAGGAACGCCGTCTCCAACCTTTCAATCGCACGTGCCGTCGCTTCATGGAGCTCCCTCATGCTATGCAGCTCCTCGCGCGTGACCGGCGCATCATTGGGATCACGCCATGCGCCGGCGTCGTCCTCTTCTGCGTCGGCTGCAGCATTGTTCTCCGCTTCCGCACCATCCTCGTCTTGTGTGTGGCCTGGGTTACGACTGGGGAGAGCCTCGTTTGGGTCGTCGTCCGATGCTGGCGCGGGAGGTGCCTCATGTTCCCCGTCCACTCCTGCAGAGGCCTCGACGACGTCTTGAACAGGACGTTTGCGCCTGCGACCAGCATTCCCGGTGGATGCAGCCGTTCCGTCAACCTGCCGGCTCGACTGGGCGGAGGAGGAACTACCTTCCAAAGTGCTCCCATGCAACATACACGAGTCCGCCCGAGTCCCATGTGATGGTGTTACGGCTGCATATCACACCAGGAAATTACCACAGGGTATAAGTGACAAGTGCAAAGAGCGCACGAGCATGCTGTGCATGAACGGCTGAGGCCGGTGTATAATAGACGACGCAGCAGACCCATTAGCAAGATGATACGCAAGTCACTCACGCGGCGGCGAGGGAGGACCCCTGGCTTGCTGCTCCGAAACATCCAGGCGAGGCTTCTTCGTCACCTTACGCCTAACAGTCCCAGGCAGAAGGTAAGAGTTCCGTAGGTAGGCATGCGGTTGTGACACTCGCTGACTCCTGCCCTCACGTGACGACACGGTCAAATTGTCCATCGTGAACAAAGTTGTGTGCAGGAATGACTCTGTCGGACATATTGTCCACTACTTACGCATTCGGCGTCCCAGCCAAGGGTACGTATGTGTTGTACCCCGCCACAACACGTGGCGATCAATTGTCGGCCAGGCTGCGTTCGTCATCTGGCGGATTTTGCCCACATGGTGCAACCTTGACGCAAGGTTATCCACATCTCTCGTCACAGAGTCGAGCCATTTGTCATGACACAAGACAGGACCCTTACAACAACTGCTATACACTTTGTGAAGCTTGTATAAGTCATACGTGTGGTGCATATGTAAACTGACAAAAGAGTACATTCATTATGCGCCACTGCTAGACATCCACAGCGTGCGTTCAGCACAGAATTGACTCTTTCACAACAGGAGATGGCACTACATCTAGCATCACAAGTCACACATAGTACAATGCTTCCTGTACATGTCCACTAACTTAAGGCCCGCCATCCGCACAGCCATCAGCCTCGTCCAGTTTATGTGAGGGAGCAGTTCATTGCTCCATGGCAGACCATAAACGCAACCCCTGTCCGTTGCGCCTACTCGCACACCGTCGCCACATCATGACCCATCCTGTCTTGCACGTCCTCCTCGCTGCAGCTGTTGTCCGGAGACCGAGTGACATTGTTTTCCAGCAGGAATGGAGTACCAGGCTCAATGCCCAGCTCTGCTAGCGCCGTCCTCCACTGACGCCACCTCCACCACATCCTTGCCTTGACCAGATGACGCACGTCGTCGCAAACACACCCCATCAGAGACGCCTTCTCCGCGTCCGACAGCTCCTTCCCGTGCTGGATGTGGTCATTACGCCTGATCACAAAGGCCGCCGCTCCATACGCATACGCCGCATCGAGCTCCACATTATACACACCCAGCCTTATCTGCTGACCAGTGCCTGGGCCGCACACCATCTTAACCCCCCACTTTCGGCCGCGTGGGCACCAACTCACCCCTGTCCAGCGACCGGAGGCAGGCCGACCACCGTTCCCGGCAAGCAGGCTGGTTGGACGCACGGCCCGTGCTGCAATCCTAGTCCAAGTACGGAGGCGATACCTGGCAGCGCGCGAGACCGTCGGCGGTGCTGCAGGTGTCACGGGAGCGGTTGGGAGATCCTGCTCCTCCGTCTTGGGCTCGACATCAGTTGGTGTCGGCTCACTACCAATGGGGGACGCCCCATCGGAATGCTCAGAAGGGAACGATGGCAGCGGAAGCGGTGATGGAGCCGGGTGGATGGTCATGCCCGGCGTCCGCATAGATGCTGCGTGCTCCACGTGGTTCTTGGTCGTGGACAGAGCCAGCAGAGGTGTCCCGTGCGACTGAAGCTCGTGTGCCGCTCCACTCAGCAGATGATCCTCCGAGATGCCTAGCGAACGTGCCAGGCACATGACAGCCGCACACACAACGTAACCCCCTGCCTCCATCCGGGTTATCATGCCTGACTGCCTCGCCAGGTCGGTGCGGACTTCGTCCTCCTTGGGAAAGACGAGGGCGCCGTGTTCTCCCACCTGGGGAAGAGGCTGTGGGGGAACATTCACCCCCTCCCCAGGCAGCTTGACAACAAGGTCACCTGTGGCGTTGAGGGACACCTCCTCGCGGAGCTGGCGCCGGTAGGCGTGGGACTTCGCGCAGTAAAACGTGAGCCACCGTTTGAGGGTTGAAAAGCCGGATGTAACCAGGGCGTGGAGATACATGCCGACATAAATCCCACAGTCTACCGCGTTCATCCATTGTGGAATGTCTTCCGGCTGCCAGCAAACACACCGCATAAGAAGGCACAAGTCAAGGGACTGACAAGCCAGACTGTGCACGCGACATGGCTGCGTCATGAAATGCACTCACATGCATGATGTGGACTTCGACACACTTCAGGTGGTCCTCCGCCTGCTTCCGGTCGGCCGTGGGCAGCTGAGCTTTGTGCAGTAAGAGCAACATCCTGCAAGTGAAGCAGGTTAACGGTGGTCGCTGTATATGGCATCAACGGAAGTTTTCAAGGTTGGGCGTGGCACGAGTATAAGATGCGCCGCTCACTTCTTGACGCCCTCCATCACTTCTGGCTTCTTGGTGTGCAACTGTGCACTATCATAATGCACCATCTCCACGCTGCCCTCTGTAGTCTCGGACAGCTTCCCGCTGACCATGGTGCGGAGGTTCGTCGCTATGACCAGCGAGTAGTGGCCCCTGACACATGTACGCACGTTGTATGTTAGGGAACGCGAATCGACACAGACTGATATGGAACCCGGCAACTAGCAACAGCATGAGCATCTAGAGGTAGCATCCTTACTCGTAATACACCGGGATGGCGAGGTAGTCCTGTGCGAAAATACATGGTGCATGTCCAAGGGGCCATGCCATGTCCAGGGATTTCGCGTACGTAAACGCCTTCGTGTCCAGAGCGAACCATGTTTTGCCTCCTTCCAGCTTCGGATGCCTTATGTTCAATAGTCTGGAACACACATATGCACGATATGGTTCGTCAGCACATCTTACCACCATGACACGACATACCGCATGTATAAGGCACACCGATTCCAGTCGCTTACATGTTTTGGAAGTCAACCACTGTGTCCGCCAGACACTGTCCGTCGGCGAGCGCCAGGACGTCCTGTGCTGGCAGCTGACACCCCACTCTACGGGGACCGTACAGCACCAAAGGCTGGAACTCACGCTGATAGCTGGGCCATTTAAGACGGGCAATCACATCGTCACTTGGCGGAGGCGGCACCTCTCCTGCGCCCCTCACACCGCTGCCCGCCGATCTCACTGCACGAGGGCGGGGCAACTCCTGCTTCACCTTCCGCTTTCGGCGATCTTGCTCCGTAGTCAGAGTGGTCTCTCAGAATCAGTAGCGAGGAATGAATGAACTATGAAAGAAAACAGTACAACTACCAACCCTAATTGGGTTGTACCCCCTATGGGCTACCCCACTACAGCCTACAAGCATGCATCAGCTATATAATAATCTGACACACCCCCATAGGCAAAGTGGGGGAGAACAAGGGGTCACAAGACCAGTCAAGCAAAGCAAAGCAAGCTCAGGGTGGATCTCAAGGATACCACACAAATTCCGAGCACAAGTTCAAGGCCACACGGCCAGTTCACATGCAGCAGAGCATATATATAACAGTGCTAAACAAGCAAGAGCACGTATATATATATGCAGCAGTACAGACAAGGTCAAGAGGTAAGCAAGTGAGGCCCAGTGGGCACAAGACCTAGCAAAGTGCAAAAGCGCTGATGGTCACGAGGCGGAAGTGCCTTGGTGAACACATCAGCAGTGTTGGCCTCAGTGGCCACGTGACGCAGACGAAGCTGACCGCGCTGCTGCAGCTCTCGAGCAAGAAAGTAGCGCAGAGCAATGTGCTTCGTCCTGTGCTCCAGTTTGTGCTCCTGACACAAGGCAATGGCTGCCTTGTTGTCGACGTACAGCACTGGAGGAGAACGAGGCCGCTCTCCAAGGTCAGTCAGCAGGTAGGTGAGCCAGCGAAGCTCCTGGGCAGCCATAGCCGTGGCGTAGATCTCAGCCTCACAACTGGAGCTGAGAACAGAAGAAGAGCGAGTAGAGCGCCAAGAGACAAAGCCAGAGCCAAGACTGAAGGTGTAACCCTGAGACGACCGCTGAGAAGCCTGGTCGTCAGCCCAAGAAGCGTCTGAGTGCCCAGTGAGAACAGGCCGGTCTCGCCCTCCAAGCACTAGCCCCATGCCCGACGTACTGCACAAGTAGCGCAACACCCTCTTAGCTGCATCCATGTGCTCCTTCCGGTGACGGCCGGGAGCAACATAGCGTGCTAAGATGCTGAGAGGGTATGCGAGGTCAGGTCGAGTGCAGGTCATCAGGTACATGAGGCAGCCCACAAGCTCTGGATACGGGCCACTCGACTCTACGGACTCATCCGAAGGCAGAGCTGAGAGCGAGTGTCCCGTAGGCAGAGGAGTGGACTGAGGCGAGGAGTACGTGAAGCCGAAGCGCTGAAGGACCTGCTGCACCATGTGTGACTGAGTCAGGGTAATGGTGCGGCGTGCTCTGTCCCGGGTGATCCGCAAGCCAAGATAGCTTGTCAGTTCACCCAGGTCTGTGCACGTGTGTCTCTTCTGCAGCTCGGACTTCACGTGGGCGAGTGCGGCAGTGTCCGCAGTGGCAAAGACCAAGTCGTCGACATACACAAGGATGTAGAACGGTGGCAGCGAGGTGTCGGTGCGTAGAAACAGCGACGGGTCAGCAGTAGAAGGAGCGAACCCAAGAGCCGCAAGTGTAGTCCTCAGTGTGTCGTGCCACTCACGTGGCGCCTGACGGAGACCGTAGACTGGCCGCCGGAGGCTCCACTGGGTACCAGGAGGGAACGACCCAGTGAAGCCAGAAGGGCGGCGCAGCCAGATCTCCTCGTGCAGGCGGCCCTGCAAGAAAGCAGTGCTGAAGTCAAGAGAGTGTAGCTCGTAGTCACGCTGAGCAGCGACGTGTAGTAGAACCCGAAGAGTGGTCATCTTCGGGGTCGGGGAGAAGGTCTGGAAGAAGTCAACTCCCTGCCGCTGACTGAAGCCACGAGCGACGTACCGCGCCTTGAAGACAGGCGGAGAACCCGGCGACCGCTTCACCCTGAAAATCCACATGCCACTGACGATGTTCGCCCCAGGTGGGGGAACCTCGTCGACGTAGGTGCCTGTGGACTTCCAGGAAGCCATCTCTGCATCCATGGCTGACTGCCACTGAGAGGAGTAGGGACCGGCCATCGCCTCTGCGTAAGAGCGTGGGGTCGGGATGTCAAGAGCATCCGGGTCTCCCTCAGGGGCAACAAGCATGGACACGAGATGGGGCAAAGCGACAGCAAAGCACTGGAACTCCTCATGCCTGTCCTCAAGGACGTCCGTGCCAAGAGCACAGTCACCCCCCACCGACGGAGGACAGGCAGACGCAGACTCAGACTCAGCAACAAGACCGGCACCGTAGTCTAGACGACACGCAGCAGCAAAGTCGACCAGCTCAGCAACTAAGGCAGACGCAGCAGCGGACTCAAAGGAAGGGTCAGTGACAACAATAGCAAGGAGACGCGTGACAGTAGGACTGGCAGCACGAAGAGAGTCCGACTCCGGGTCGGCAAGTGTAGGAAGAGAAGACTGAGGAGGAGAAGGCAAAGGGGCACGCAGAGGAGCAGTAGACGGACGCAGAGACATCCTATGCGTGCCAGGGACAGGAGGAGGATGCTGACGTGAACCGCGACCACTAGGGCGAGCAGCACGGACAGGCGACGCAGGGCGGGACGCAGGCTGACGACGCTCAGCAAGACCTCCAGTAGGACCAGTGTAGGGAAACGAAGAAGGCAGTGGAGAGGCGGGCTGTAACTGAAACTGCGACGGGACAGGCTGTGGACACTCTAAGGGAGGAGAAGGACCAGTGGAAGGAGGGAGACCTAGAACCTGCTGAAGGAGCGGAAGGAAGTATGGCCGAGGCCGCGCAGCACCTCCAGACACAGCAGGGACAGCACCAGCACCTCCAGAGGCAGCACCAGCACCAGTAGCAGCTCCAACTCCAGCACCTCCAGTAGTGCCAGGAGCACCCTCAGTAGAACCAACAGCCGTAGACTCAGCGCCAGCACCCGCAGCAGCTCCAGCTCCAGAGGCACCCCCGGGCCCGGCAGCTCCAGTACTCTCAGTTCGAGCACCTCCAGGACCCGTGGCACCAGCTCCCTCAGCAGCAACAGAACCTCCAGTACCCGCAGCACCCCCAGCTCCAGCAGCTCGCCTCCAGCGCCGGGCAAACCACTCACGCAGCTCCAGCGGAGAGAGCGGCTCGCGGCGAGAAGAAAGGTCCGAATAACCACCAGGAACAGCAGCAGCAGGCTCAGCACCCCCAGGCTCCGCACCCACAGGCTCAGCACCCCCAGACGCAGCACCCCCAGGCTCAGCACCCCCAGACGCAGCACCCCCAGGCTCAGCACCCCCAGACGCAGCACACCCAGGCTCAGCACCCCCAGGCTCCGCACCCCCAGGCTCCGCACCCCCAGGCTCCGCACCCTCAGCAGCACCAGAGTCACCAGTGACCTCAACAGGCTCAGCAGCGTCTACCTGGGACACACCTGAAGGGGCAGGTCCCTGAGGAGGGAGGGGGTCTACCGGGGGGGGACCTGGGACAAGGAAGAGCGGGGGCGGGGGGAGGGACGGAGTGCGGTAGGGGAAGAGCCAGTAGTAGGGGACCGACTCGTCGAACGTGACGTCCTGGGAGGACAGAACACGGCGAGAGGTGGGGTGGTAGAACTGCCACCCAGGTGCGTCAGGGGGGAAACCCAGGAAGACGCAAGGAGCAGCACGAGAGGACAGCTTGTCCGCGGACTAGTCGCGAACAAACGCCCGAGATCCCCAGACACGGAACGCCGACGCATCGCCAACCTTCCCCGTCCACAGCAGAGCTGGGAAGGTCTCCGGCATGGAGACCCTGGGCTGAAGGTTGATCTGATGCGCCGCGTACCGAACCGCAAACGGCCACAGAAAATGGGGGGCAGCCGCATGCATCATGGACGTACGGGCGATGTCCATGACCATGCCAATGCGGCGCTCAGCAATCCCATTCTGCTGTGGAGAGTCCGGAAGCGTGAAGGTCTGGCGGATGCCTCGTGCACGACAGTAGGCTCGCAGAAGGCCAGAGGAAAACTCTCCGCCTCTGTCCGAGTGCAGACGCAGAACAGGAAAGTCCGAGCCGAAACTCTTCCTGAGCTGGAGACGAGCTGCGCGGATCCAGTCGATCAGCACCTCAGTGACATCACCCTTGCTGCGCAAGGGGAAGACTGTGGTGTAACGCGAGTAGTCGTCAACCACCAGCAGGAAGTAACGCTCGTGACCCTGTCCACGGACGCGGGCTGGGCCCCACACGTCCATGTGAAGCGTCTGCAGCGGGGCCTCCGTCGGAGGAAACGGGGAGGAGTGAGGGGTAGCCCTCAGGC